AGGCCCTCAGAGGTGAAGCTGGGAAGTCACTGCCAACATTACACAATACAAGGTGGCTGTCCACTTCCATAGAAACAGAAGATGACTGGACGCAGGCCCTTGAGGTGACCATGGAAATCACAACCTGGAAGAGCATTTCCCAGTGGCCCTGATTTTATTACAAATATGTAGAAGGCAAACCCCCTTTTGAGGGATGAGTTTTAGCCCTGCCACGTCCCTTCTGAGATGTTCATCCACTTGAAATTTCTGCTGCAGTGTTCTTGTTCCGAAGCAGTAAAATCACGGACAAAGGACTCACTAACTACTTAAGGTTAGGGAGGATGTGTTTATTACCGGGTGACACGCCAGAGTCATGTCCCAAAGACGTGCGTCCCCCACTGCCCCTATACTCAATTTATTCCCCAAAGCATTACATATGCATAAATCACACAATACATCTATACATATTCATTGCCTAACTCCGCCTGCTCATTTCGTATGGTAATGAGCTCCACGTCCCTCTGAGCATGCTCAGTTCTTCTTTTGAAATGGGACTGGGTCTTTTTAATGAAATCTTGCTTTTCCTGGGGCTTGAACTTTTCGACTGTGTCCTGTTGGAAGCTCTCCTGGTTCTCTTGGACACAGTTCAGATCTCTTGCTTGCAGATGTGGCCATGGTGTCTTTCTCTTCCACAAGAGTGCATCCTTCTTGTCTCCTACAAATACAACTTAAGACATCCTTGGGCTATTAATTTCATTTTGGCAATCGTTGACTATTTTACATTTTTTTTCTACAAGCAAAAGATATGTAGCCTTGCTTTTAACTAACTGCATCTAGTAATCATTAACTACCTATGTTGCTCCTACCTCAAATTTTCGTGTTTCTTTTACCTTGAATTTTTTAAGTTGCTCCTATTCTAGTTAAAATCTTAATTTTCGTAATTTTCTTATCTGAATTCAAACACTTTATTATGGCTGGCCAGCAACTGAGGTGACTGTCATTTGCATAAACCTTAATTATCACTGTGTAACTCCACAAAGGCTTTGGGGAGAAGAGAACAAAGGACCAAAATAATGAGGAAATTCTCCTGGCTGCTGTGAGAGCATCTCAGCAAGCCAATAGTCAAGGGCAGGCTGAATCTGGCCAACTCCCAGGAGAAAGGAGCGTGACATGGCTTTGTCATTAATCTTCACACCCCAACTTTAATTAATGCACCTGCTCAGAAATTAATAGGCACAAAACCTGATTTACTAAGCAAAGGAGATGAAAAGATAAAGGCGGATTCCACTCATATTATTTGCAGTTCGGTGCTGTTTGTGGCTCACTGAGAAAGGCATGCTCAGAGTCCCCTCGATGGTGAGCAGCACAGAGGGATGGCAGGCTCCATGACATAGCCATTAAGGCATAAAAATTACTAGATGCATCCGCAATGAGAAACTTTTGGACTTTTAACTAAGTAGGATTAGAGCTTTTCCCCCGTGCAGCAAATTCAGCAGTTGCAGAGTCCTCACAGATCAGACGGGTTCTCCTCTCCGTGCTGCAATTTGGGGACATTGCCTTTGGGAGGAGAGCCTTCCCCAGGGAACCCGACACAGTCCCTGGGATTTCAGCCAGGCTGCGGTCCCGGTGCTGATCCCGGTTCGTTTCAGGGCCCTGGCGCGGAGCAAACCCCACGGTCCCCAGCGAGCCGGCAGGGGAGCCGGCCCCGGGCAAGCACCGAGGGTGTGGGAGTGCCGAGGGATGCGCCGCGCCCAAACAACTGGGAGCTGCAAAAACCCGCTCGGGGACCCCAGATCTGGAGGTAGGAAGGAAGACGGTCCAAAATTCCTATCGGCTGAACTGCCAGCGCTGGGCCGAGCCCAGATTTGCTCGTGGCGGAGGGGAACGTGGGTGTTGCTGAAGATTTGGCTGTGCTGAAGACATTCTCTGGGGACGGCTGAGTTTAACCCCGGAGACAAGACGGCAAAGGAGGGTGGGGAAGGAGGATGGGGGCCTCCGGCCTCTGCAACAGGCAGGAGCTGGAGCTGAGGGACAGATGGCGGAGCGGAGGGAGCAAAGATAAAGTGAGGCACTCTCGGCTGCCTCGCAGGCATCGCTCAAGCACAGGACGCAGCGAGCGGAAAAGTTGAGCCAGGCTGGAATGCAGCGCACTCGCCAAAAATCAGGCAGTGCCCAGCCCTGCACACACGGCCCCCGGCCCTGCTCAACCCCCCCCTGCTCGGTCCTGCCTGGGGAAGCGGAACCTGGCACCACACAGAGCTTGTGATGCCCCGAAAACCCACCCAGGCGGGCTCCTTCCCGCTGGCTCAGCCGGCTCCCATGTGCTAAAGCAGAAGTTTCTGCCCCTTCTCGTGGGACCATGGGCTTCTCCCTCGCTGTCCCCTGCCTGCTTGGTGTGACTCCACCGACATGACTACGTCCCCTGGGGGCTGCATCCGAGCCCTAGGCTGGGGGGATCCACCATTTCCCCTCTCCACCCCTGCAAGGCGCCTCATCGCTGCCCTTCTCCAGGCGAACTCCCCGCCATCCCGGCCAGCCATTGCACATCTGCATCGTGAGTCTGAGAAAGCACGATGTGCTTTTTCCAGTGACGTATTCTCTTAGCTTTTCATTTCCTTTTTTTTTTTTTTTTTTTTTTTTTTTTTTTTTTTTTTTAAAGGCACAACCTCAGCCGTGCATAGAGCAGAAGCCAAGAGCCTGTTCTTTGCCCCACCCAAGCCTGAGAACAACCTCCTCCCTTTTCCCAAAAGCCGACGGCGGAGGGCATGTTTCAAACTGAGTGAGGAAGCTTTCGCAAACTGTTAAGGCTATTTTCAAAAGCTTCCAATTCGCCCATCAGACCAGTCTCGGCTGCACCCCGACTCTTGCACAGCCCTGTGTGCTGCTGGAAATCCCCCACGAACAGAGCCTGAGTGAAAAAGCACAGCTGAGAAGGCTCCAGAACTGGTTTCAACAACTTTTTCAAGTAAGTGACTTAATTTTTTCTTGTTTTCATATATATTGTGTTGAAACAGAGGCTCCTAAAAACTTACCTGCTGCAAACAATATCTCTCCTCTTCTTCTACCCAACCCTTTCTCCCAGACCATAACTACCAAGAAGAAGGGTAACTTCTAAATAGCCAGTACTTCTCTTTGCCAGGTCCTCTTTGCCTTGTCCTTTTGCTTTGTCACTTGCCAGGCTCTGTCAGGAAGCTTAGAGGGCTGTGTTTATCAGGGCTGTTTGTGGGTAACTAACAACAGAGGCTTGAGCTAGAGCAAGTTTGTGCATCTGGCTGCAAACGTGGAGCTGGAGATGGAGGCCTGGCTCCCATCACGTGGTGGCAGTTTTCTGCTGGTCTGTCTCCTTTGCAGAGGGAGTTTTGCATATGGAAAACTGGGAAGCTGAAGGGAGACATTAAGTGCTGCTTACATTTGAACTCAATAATATCACAGTGTGACTTTAAAGGGATTGCCATGGGTTTGACACAGCAAAGAACAAGGGGCCAAGTTTCTGCCCCCGTTCCCCACCCCTGGCCCATGGAGAAAGGGAGTAAACCAGGATTTGTTGAGGCAGCAGATGAACTGAGCCAGAGTCATGATTTAAGGCACAGTGTAAGAGCAAGCCTTGTGCAAAGGACTATAAGGACTAAAGTATCTTTGTCTCTTCTGCCTGAATGTCCCTGCAGTTGGGGCAGCCCTATGGGCCATGGCTCCCAGGCAGCCCCAGATGTGTGCCGGTACTTCCAGCACTGTGCAAGCTGCCAGTGACGGTTAGTTGGGCACCCAGGTCCTTCCTGTCTCAATCAAACCCTGGTGACACCAGTTCCTCTGAGGCCAGCGGGTTCCGTCACAGGGGTGAGGGTTCCCCAGAGCTTGCAAGGTTCTTGAGGCTTCCTGTGGAGAAACCCTGTGGGGATGCAGCACTGATGGAAAGTCAGCTAAGAAATTAATTGAATCCAGCTTGCAGATGGGATGAGAGAATGGACATTGCTGCAGAAAACGTGGATACATTCCCCAGTTATTTCCATGCCCTTAATAAAAATCAGGGCACATGCCTTTCCCTGCTTGGCCCCAAGTGCCTGCAGCCCTGTTGGTGGGGTATAACACAGGCAAAGGGCACCAAAGAGCATCTCTGACACTGAGGCTGAAGGTTGAGGGGCTCAGTCTCAGGGCAGCAAATAAGAGGCTGAGCTGGGACTGCAAGCCAGGACAGGGAGTACGATTATGTCAATCAGCTGCAGGATGGGAGATCATCCTGCCACACCTAATCCTAGCAAAAGCTAAAACATAATTGCTGTCCCAGCTCTATGAGCATTTGCTGTTTGTATCCTAGGATATCAGGGTAAGATTTCCCAGAAAGTAACTTCTCTTGTTGGTAGCAACAGCTCCCAAGCATCCCTTCACCCTTCTCAACAAAGGCTGCTCTTGCCTGGGCCTCCCATGCCACATTTCTGTGCTCCCAAATCTGCTGGGATGTCTCACAACAACCTTTGCTGCCTACCTCACATGCCTGTGTCTATTAATAAATATTAACTCATAAGCTCTAAAGAGGGAGGCAAAAGCCGCACAGAGCACCTTCAAAGCAGCACAATGCCAGCACCCATGTGCCACATGTGGCTGGGCTAGTGTGAGTCAGTGGCAGGGCTGGGGACACATCCTAGTGCCAGTGCTCTGGTCCAGTTTTCCCAGTAACATGGTATCCTCCTTCATTGCAGGTTTGGGAGATCATCAAGTTTGCCAGTGATGCTGACAGTAATTGCCTCTGTGGGAGGTGACTAAAAGCAAACAGAAAGAGGACAAACATGCAATTGAGAGGGACAGAAAGAGATGTCCCACCTGTCATCTTTGCTGTAGTGAAGCTTTTGGAGGGCTTAATGGGAAACTAAAATGGCTGAGGTTTCACATACTGCTTAGGCAAAGTCCCTTTTCAAGTATCCCTGGTATCAGCAACCAGCTCCTGTCCCTCAGGCTGGGACACCAGGTGGAGGAAGGGACATCGGCGAAGGTGTCCTGCTCCTGGAACAGCTCCTTGCACATCAGCCAGCACCAGGCCACTTCATCCCCCATTGGAGTGTTCCCCAGTGCTGGGGGCTGAGCCAGCACTGCCCCCACTGCACCTCTCAGCCCCCGGACGAGATGGCCGCCCTCATCGCTGAGAACTTCCGCTTCCTCTCCTTGTTCTTCAAGAGCAAAGATGTGATGATTTTCAATGGTTTGGTGGCCCTGGGCACGGTGGGGAGCGAGGAGCTCTTCTCTGTTGTCGCCTTCAACTGTCCATGCTCCCCTGCCCGCAACTACATCTATGGGCTGGCTGCTATCGGTGTCCCGGCCCTGGCCCTCTTCCTCATTGGTGTCATCTGGAACAACCACACCTGGAACCTGGTGGCCGAGTGCCACAAGCGTGGCACCAAGAACTTCTCTGCTGCTGCCACCTTCCTCCTCTTCGGCTCCATCATGGGCCGGGCATCTGTGGCACCCATCACATGGTCAGTCATCTCGCTGCTGCGTGGGGAAGCTTACATCTGTGCCCTCAGCGAGTTTGTCAAGCCGTCCTCCCTGGACAAGTTTCCAGCTGAGTATGGAGCCGAGGTGCTGGCCAAGTTCCCCTGTAGAGACGTCCCAGCAAACCTCACCAAGTTCAGGGACGAGGTGACACGGAGGCTGAGATATGAGTCCCAGGTAGGCCCAGCAGGGAGAAAGCCACAGGGAGTGGGTAAGACCACCTTACCATGTCCTAATGCAGCCTCTCTCTTCTCTCCCAGCTCTTCGGCTGGCTGCTCATTGGCATCGTTGCGGTCCTGGTTTTCCTCACCAAGTGTCTGAAGCACTGCTGCTCACCATTGAGCTACCGGCAGGAGGCCTACTGGGCCCAGTACCGCTCCAACGAGGACAAGCTCTTCCGACGCACGGCCGAGGTCCACTCCAGGATCCTGGCAGCCAAGAATGTGAAACAATTCTTTGGCTTTGTGGCACTGGACAAGGAGGAGAAGGAGCTGGTGCAGGAGTTCCCGGTGGAGGGCGTCCAGCCGAGCCCCCAGTGGAATGCCATCACAGGTGTCTACATCTACCGAGAGAACAAGGGCTTCCCCCTCTACAGCCGCCTCCACAAATGGGCCAAAGGGGTGGAAGGGAACGGACCAACCCCAGAAGGCCACGAACTGCTGTTTTTAGCTTCCTAAGACAGATGTGCACCAGCAGCACTTCCCCAGGGTGCCTGGAAGGCTTTCCAGTATCGGTGCTCAGCTGAGGGATGCACTGGGAACATTCCTCCCAGCAGGATTACTTCTCTCAAGAGGTAAACAGGAATCAACAGCCTCAAGGCAGAGACTGATAAGCAATACCCCGAGGAACCCCTCCCTCAGAGACAAGTCTCACTGCTGTTCCCAGAGACACAAGGGAGCAAAGAGCAGATGCAGCCCTTACGTCCAGGCTGCCAGTGCAGCCACTGCCTGATACACCAGCAGAAGCCTTAGGGAGCAAGAGATGAGCACATTTCTCACTGTGACTCCTGCAGTCACACTTGCCTCCCCCACAGCAGGGTTAGCCCCAGCCATCCCACATCTATTTGTTTTATTGACATTGATATCTTCTTATACACTTGTGTGATGCCTGTTACACAGGCAGGTCCCAGAGCACTTTACAGTGCAGTTAAAAGAAGGAAGCAGTGGGTAAATTCCTGGGGCGAGGAGGTTGCAATAGCATCTGAGAAGGGATGGGTCAATAATAGCCACACACCAAATAACAGAGACTAAAGCAGGAGGTATCACCACTATTCCTGGTATTCAGAAAGGCACTCTGTAATTACCAAGTTGAAATTTGGGTAAGACACCAAACTCCCTTTGTTCTTAATGAAGTGCCTGGCAATCTCTAATGAGCCCAAAGAGTCACCACCATGAGTCTATAAACCCAGAGGAGGCACTATCAGCAGAACAGCTTTGGGGCAAGGTAGTGAGGTGGAGACTGAGAGGAATCAGTACCCACAGCACTGTCTGCAACTCATTGCATTTCTCATCCAGCTGTCAGATGAGAGTCCTTTGTTTGGGTTACAAGCTGCTGGAACACCTCAACCAGAATTAGCTTTATATATATGTATATGTAAAGATACATACAGTGCATATACCAAGTAACCATAGTTAGTCAGTTGTATTAACGGAGGACCTTTCTCAGAGAGGAAGGGGATAAGAAAGCTGCCAGCCCAAAGAGCACATTCCATTCACCCATCTGCAGCACGGGGACTGCAGCCCTGGAGCAACAAGGGGACAGCAGGAACAGGATGGAGGAGCAGCCCTCTCCCTACCCATCTACCACTGAATTTTCTAAAACTCTTTCCACTGCCTTAATTGGCCCCTGGAGCAGAATGTCTCTATTATGGCCCTGGCCATCCTCTGGGAAAGCAAAACCAGAAAGGTGTAAAATTACTACCCTCACCATGACAGTCTGTGACTATGGCTTCAAGGCTGCTCCCCTGGCATTGCAGTCCCTTTTCTCCCAGGGGTCAGTCCTGTGTACTCAATACTGTTTAAAGAGCTGGCACAACAGAGAAGTTTGTTTTTCCTACTTGAACTGTTTCATTATAGGTACAACTTCCTTTTACACTGTGCCATTTACCAAAAAACCTGAATAAGTTGTTCAAAAACCAGCTCAAACCCACAGAACTCAGAGGGGCTTACACACAAGGAGATTCAAAATAAATTATTAAATGAGAGTTATTTTTCATTGCCTTCTGAGTTTTTTTCAGGGGGGTATAAAAGGCATAATTTAACATTCTCTTTGAACTCAAGGACTGGGAACTTATTTTTTTTCTTTCTATTAAAGATTCAGACCCTCTCCTATTCAGACCATCCTAGAATGTTTTAAAGCATTACCATGTATTACAAATTAGTAACATGGCTTTCTAGTTATTTTTGCAGTGAGTAGCACAAATCTTGTATATTTTGCTGCAATACACGATTGCAGCAAAGGAAAGAAAATTAGTTTAAAAGCTTTTGACAAGTATGGTGTCTTGCAAGAATGAGCTGCAGACTATTCCCTCACATAAAGAGGCTGGAACACAGCTCAATGGATGAGATCCCAGGATCCCTGTTCAGCCTCTCTACAGATTTGCTTTGCATTTGTGGGAAGGCTTGGCTCTCAGCCTCACCATCAACTAATCCACAGAAATAATCAGATGGAAGTTAAATGAAATTGCATTAACTTGAGATGAAAGGGAGTTAATTTGCATTTCTTCTCACTGGTCCTCGAGTGCAAACATGCAGATACGCACGCCACCCCCACACAGCCAACACAAGGTAACTTGCTGAAACAAAGCAGAGTTCTTCTTACTTCCTTTATTTCCCTTGCCTTCCTCCTTGATAGTCTTAATTATTCCTTTGAACCACCTCTACTCTGGTTCCTTCTCTTCCCCTTCCTTCCTTTGAAGGAAAGGGGCACGACACGCAATGCTTGAGAATGGAGTTTTATCCTAAGAATAAACCATGAACACAAACCATCTTTTGTTCTCTTTACATCCCTTCTCTCATGCATTAAATACACTCTCTTTCCATGTGCTGGGATGGACTAGGGGCTAGTCTGTTTTCTCCCTCTTGTTGGATAGGCATGTTTGAGTGGACAGCTGTCAGTGAGGAGTGGAGCAAGACACTACACTCAGAAAATTGTTTGCAATTGCAGAGATTTGGTTTTCCTCCTCTCCTCTGCCACCCTGAGTGTGGTCCCCCCTGAGACAGCCCTAGGTTTCTGCCTCTCCTGGCACATCAGCACCCTCAGGAATATCCCTGCTGTTCATGTCACCCAGTGTCCCCCAGCGACAATGCTGAGTGAGGAACATTAACCCACATGGTTTTACATACAAGCACAAGCAGCCACATTAGATTTCTCACTGAAATGCCAAGAGTGAAATTGAGCCACCTATCTTCCTGGCATGCTGGATCACACAAGCTGCAAGCTCACACCCTTTACTTTTCCTCTAAAGACCAACAACAATCCCATCACATAGCAGCCCACAGGTCACAGCTCCCAGCAAGATGGGGTCAAGCCAGGCTCCTCCAGTACAGAGAATTACAGGTCTTTCACTTTTCCTGCCTACTATAGAGACTATAATAGCCCCAGTAGTGAAGAAGAAACAATACCTCTGAGGGATCTTGGTTTCTATTGCAACGCTTATTTACATGTTCTATTATGCAACTAATTAAATCAAAAGAAAGAGCCACCATCATCAAAGCTGTGCTCTTTAAAAAAACCAGCAGTTGCTACTGGATGTTGCAATCAGCCTCCTCTACTACAAGACCCTTAAGCAAAATCTGAGTACAGCACCCTGCTCTCTCTGGGGGCAAGAAGTGAAATGACTCGTTTCTGGATCCCAAAGGACTTGGGAGTGAAATAAATGCTGAATCATCCAGCCTTGCCAACACTGGGCATTCACAGAGGCAGAAGAGTTGTGTCCTGCAGAGCTCTGGTTTTGAGTTTAGAGTAACCTACTAAGACTCTTCAAGTTTGGTATTTCAAAGTTGGGCATCTACTCGGTAGGATCTTCACTGGATAATCACATCTGTCTGCATACCCTGGTTTTCCCCTTGCCTCAAATTCTTCCCCTGTAAAACATGTGGCTGATCACATGCACATCTCAGTGGAAAGTCAGAGAAATACAGAATTGTAAGGATATGGACCATAAGACACTGACATTAGTGACAACTTTTTTTAACTACCCAAAATACCTGTGTCTTTTTCCAAGCAGAAAGTTACATTGGGATAACTTTTTTTCAGCCCAGAAAAAAGGCATTTTTCTTTGACTTCAGTGATTTCTCTTAAGAGACAATGACTACTGAAAATCACTATTTTTCCCGTCATCAATCCCTAGTAACTTGTTACCACACATGGCTGCCCAGAGAGGTTGTGAAGTCTCCATTCTTGGGGAAATCAAAACCAAACTGGGATTGTACCTGAGCAACCTAGTCTTGCTGACCCCTGCTTTGAGCAGGAGTTTGAAGGTTATCAACAAGAGGTTCCCTCCAGTTTCAACTGTGCCACAATCCAGTGTTGCTCTGCCAATTTCTAAAGCAAAAAGACACCTGAGATAAATCTTTTGAAGTGTTAATTCATCCAAAAGACAAGAATCTTCTCTGCCATCTTAACAGTAAGAAAAATCAATTTATAAGATATTGCTGTACTTAAAAGCAGCATGTCAAAACTATACCATTTCCCCAGGAAAGTAAAACAGGTACAGCTGATGTTTCTTTTGATTATAAAACAGTCTATTATTTAAAAACATGTCACCAACACACCAAAATTATTTGTAACATCTGGACAAAGCTGCAAACATTTATCAAATCTTTTAATTTGATTGCTGTTTCCAAGCAGGTTTGGTCACAGACCAATACTCTCCAGAAACTCACTGTCCATGGACAGTCATGGAAGAACTCCACACTTCCCAGTTCCAACATTGCATGGAAAGCCAAGTCTCTCTGCTTTCACTTGCACCACACTTAGGTATCAGCAAGGGAACTCTTGGTCTCCACATACTCAAGTGCTGCTCTTTTAACAGCCAGGACACTTTCTGCTGTACCAAATTTATTCTCATAATCCAGGTAGCGTTTGAAGAAGAATTTCATCTTCTTCGGTGCCAAGCTCAGGTGTATGACCCTCTCAAAGATGTCTCTGAAAGAAACCAAAGTGATTAAAACCACTGTGTTTGTGACAGCACTCAATACAAGCCCTGTACCCTGACTTTTAACAAACAGCAGAAAGTCAGGGGAAACATTCAGGGGAAATTGCTGTGAAATGCTGGTGCTTGAAGAAAGAGGCTCCTGACAATGGACCAAAATATCTAAGTAGAAGCCTTCTACTTGCTTGCAGAAGGCTAAGGCTGCTGGTCAACTTAAACAAAGATCCAGACACTGCATTGGACCCTGCATTCGTTAAGTGGAAATTACTTCCTTTTGTCACCTCTCGGGAAAAAAAAATGGAAAAAATATGTTTTTCCATTTTTAAGTTACAAGATACAAAGGTGGATTATTCAAGATTATTCTCACCCTTCAGATACAAGGCAATCCCTGCAGAGGGACAGGTGTACCTCAGTGCAAGGCCTCTAGTTTCTGTCATGCAGGCCACCACTTGAAAATCAGTCCCCCTCTGCCCTGTGGAACTCTTTAGGGTCTCCTCAGTCCCAGCAAGGATAAGCACTTCCACACCCCCCTGTTTTGTGAAAAAAAAATAAAAATTTTATATATATATATATATATATATATATATATATATATATATATATATCCCTTTTGCAGTGCTATGGAAGCCCTATACAATCCCACACTGCAGAGTACCTCTGCTCTTTTCAGGTGTGCTCTGGCCCTTCCCAGACTGCTGCACCACAACTCACCGTACTTCCTTCTGGCTGCCATGCTTGATCATGATGTCCATGTAGATGGACCAAATGTCTGTCCGCTTGGGATAATTGCTGAGGGTGCTCTCAAAGAGGGCCTTGGCATGTTCTGTGTCCCCAGAATGGAACTCCAACTGTGCAAACCTTGAAATGACATCCACATCTGGAAAAAGTAATGACATGTTAGGGTAACACAGCAACTCTCCCCCACGTGATCAAACATGAGTAAGAATTACACAGAACAGACAGGCACAGAGACAGCACCATCTCTACCCATAGACAAAAGGCTCTGTTGTAAAGAGGTTTTGGACCAAGGTGGGATCAAAGTGGGAGACAGAAGGGTCACAGCTCACTTCCCATTTCAGCTCTCTGTGGGAAAGAGAGGTTTGTTTTCATATTCATAATGTATCATGCAGCACCCATGGGCAGCCCCAGAAACCTGGGCTTAGACCAAGTGAACTTTTCTAGAGAGCTGTAAAACTAAAAGCTGTCTTTGCTTTTGTGCATCACAGCAAATTCTATTTGGTGCCTTTAGCAGAGGTGTATTTAGCAGTAACATCCAGCTTGAAAGTTCCCCACCCCTGAGAGTCAGCTGACTGCACTCTTCACTTATTACAAATGCTGTCACATGCAGAGATATCAGAGAGCAGCCCATCCCCTGTCTACATTAAGGTCCACAATAATAATATAATAATAATAAAGCTGGGGCAGAGAGAGCTCACGTTCTTTGGTGGGCAGAGCCTTGAGAGCACGCTCCAGAAGCCTGTGTGTAGCCTCAGCCTGGCCTTGCTTCAGGAGGAAAGAGGCGTATTTCAGCCACACGGATTTCTCCTGACGAAAACGCTTCAGCATTGTGTGGTATAATTCTTCTGCTTGCTGGAAGGACAGAGTTGGGTTACATCACACATTCTTAACAAAGCCTTGTAGCTTTAAGACTCTTATGCTGGGTATCTCTCAGCACTCAGGACATAAAAGCAAGCAGCAATGCATCCTTGCCCACTGTCAATCATAACCATTAATTCCAGTTAAGAACAGGATAGCCCCAAGATCTGACAGCTGAAAGGTTACACAGCCAGCATTTTCAACTTACTGGCACGCCTGAATGGGATACATGCTAGGGATCTGCTTGCACTATCTTACCTTATACTTCTCAGAACTGGCATAGATGTCACACAGATGCTGGAAGACTTTCAGAGGTTCATTGTATTGAACTGCTCTCTCAAAGACCTTCATCAGTGTCTCCTCACTACCATACATGTTCTCCAAGTTCAGCAGAGCTACCCAGACATTCAGCTTCTCCTGTTCTTCCCTTAAAGCAGAAGTGAACAAGAATATTCAGCCTTTTGCCAGTCTTCACCAGGTTTTTGCAAACTACCCTACATGGACTCACTGACTTGTAGCAGGCCTCCAGGACAAGAAAAATGACATACTGGTCCCTGAAACACCGTTTTTGAAATAGAGCACAGCAGTTGATTCACACAACAGTTTTTTATCATTGTTGTTTGTAATTAAAAACCAGAAGTTTGAGTCTAGAAAGCACAATATACTTAACCATGCAGTAGAGATGATTTAAGGTACAGCTCTATGGCAAAGGCAACAGGAGTTCCATGTTTTGCTTCAAGGACATCACTGACAGCATTATGCTCTTCCAAATGCTTCTGACTATCTAGAAGAATGTCTGTGCACTCAGTGACACCTTCAGAAGCTCCTGAGCTCATGACCTGCAGCAGGTCAGCTGTGGGCCAGTGGTGGTGACTCAGGCCAGACCTTCAAAGGGTGAACTGACAGTCGCTACCACTTAATCCTTCTGAGCTCACTACAACAGACCCTTTCACTCCACACACACAGACCCACGCTGATTCTACCAGTTTTCTTCCACCACAACTACCCTGTCATGATTTATTCTTTGGGGCAAAGAAAAGCAGAGCTCCGTTATTACCTGAAACTGATTGTTTTAAGTGCTCTCTCTGCCACAGCTCTGGCCTTCTCAATCTCTGTAGCCTGGAGGTGGAAGGCCATGTACTGCAGCCAGAGGATGGAGCTGTTGGGACTGCCCAGCACCAGGCGGTCAAAGTCATCTGCTGACTGGGGCTGCCGACTCGGGTCCATTAGAGCTGCCTCTACTTTGCAAAGCTCCTTCTCCCTCTTCTGCTTCTCCAGGTCCTTCTCCTTCTTTGTTCGTTTCTTGAGCTGAAAGAGCAAAACAGAAGGACTGAGGCAGGGCAGGCACTTCATGGGGGAATAGGCAGGTCCGGCTAAAGTACAGCCAGAACTCAGTATGTCCAAGGCTAATCAATTTCCACAGGAAGAGATGAGGCCAACTGTTTAAAAGAGGATAAAAATGATACATACCCCGCACCCCTTCTTACATAGTTCACACCTCAAAGAAGAGCAGCAGAACAGGAAGTCCTTTTCTTTTTTAAATTAAATACACTGAGGGACCAAATACTTTGCTAGTCTGGCACCCTAACTGCATGATTCACACTTTGCCCTTTCATGTTATTCTTCCATCTTTATCCTCCAGCCCAGTACTCACCACCACCCTCCTGCACTCTGTAAAAATCCAACACAATTTCTCCCTATGTACATCTGGGGCGTGTTGCTGGACCACTAGGGTGACTCAGGTCTAAATTTGGAACCCACAGTGCCATAGTTCTCTGCCTTGTTACCTCAGGCAATAAAGCATCAGCCATGCATTGCCTTTACAGAGGTGAGTTTTGAGGGACATGGCAAATCCTGAAGACCAGGCATGAAAGGAGTTCATGAGCTTGTTTCTGATTTTGCTAAATTGCTCTCACTGAAAACCCCTTCTAAAAGTTATAGCATAAAAAAGTTGGGTTTTGATGCTTTTTGCTAAATGACTATAACTTGGAAGGCTTTCCATCTCCAGGTTTTTCTGTAAATTTATGACACTCGGGAAAGTAAAAAAGAGAGCTGACATTAAATGAAAAAAAAGTTTTGTTTTCATGAAAACATTTGTTTGACTCTAAATACTTATTTTTTTAACATGTCAGCATGAGAAAACTTGTTTCTCATGCAGCCATGCTAAAATTGGACCTTTTCTCCTCTCCTTCAGAGGTATCTGCTACTAAAGTCCGTGTTCAAAATAGCTGAACAAGTTCGGTGTCAGCTGCCAAAGATGTTCCCTTGGGTTAAAAGGCTTTGCTACAGGGCAGACAGACATGCAAATACCAAAAAAACACATTACAGCCACTGTGTGGTGTCGCCTGTGCAGACAATACAACTACACAGTACCTTGGACCGCATATCCTCCTCCTCCTCGCTCTCTGAGCTCTCTTCCTTCTGATCCACCACAGGTATATCCATTGCATTGTCTTCATCCCAGGTGAAGCCCATGGAAACTTGCAACCTGGGAGCTTCACCAGGCTTCCCTACCTGTTCAGAGGAAGACAGAAAATGCCCTGGATTTTAAGTTTTTTAAGTTAAATCAGACAACTGCTCTTGGCTTGTGGCATCTCTCCGTTTGGTACCATTGACTTCTTGTACTTGCAAACAGCCCATCAGCAAAAACATTAACTCTGTGACCAGCTTTGTCGTAATTTAAATTCCATCCACCTCAAGCTATTTTCAGATGACACAAACACCACCTTGTCACTCCTATCTGCAGCAGTAATACTTATTCTCTTAAAGTCAAACTGATGAATATCAGTAGGGCTAGAAGGCCATTTCAGGCTCAGGTTCATCTCCAAACTTCTCACCTTAGATTTCTTTTTAGCTGCCTCTTCCTCCTGGTCATCCTCTTCCTCCTCACGGTAATACACCTCAATTCCACTGTCATTTTCATCTGCTGGGCAGATCTTCCTCTTCTTTGGCTTTGCCTCCTGCAACAAGTGGAAATGAGTGGACAGTGGAGGACAACAACTGTGACAACCTTAAAGGCAATTCTGATTACAAGTAAAAAGCCTGACAGCAGAGAGGGCAATGCCCTGGCACAGCATTCCCCACTACTCTCAACTAACAGAGACAGTGGAAAATAAACCCACACTCACCTACATAGAGTGCAAAGACTAAAGGGACTAGAAATACAACTGGTATCTCAGTTAGCTCCCACCCAAATTTAATCTTTTTTTTCCTAGTCTGTATAATTTCTCATCTTTCTGGGATGAGACTGGGATCTTCCCAGTCACTTCAGTATTTGAACCAGCAAAATCCTTTAGCATATCCTGTGCAACCACACCCATACCTGACCACTTTCATAGTTTCCTCTTCTCCTTTTTGTCTTCAGCTTAGGCTCTTCTCTTTTTCCCTCATCATCTGCCTCTCTTTTCTCTTCCTCTGTTCCATACTGTGGTAGGCCTAGGGATTCAGGCAAGACACTTGGCATCCCAGTGTCCTCAGGCAGGAGAGAGAGCTCAATATGTTCTTCTTTTCTATTCACCCTGTGGTGCATCACCAGGAGTAGCAGGACAGAAGAATAAGAAAAAAATCAGAACATTTACAATGACTGCAAGGATCTCAACTTCTTTCAAACTTTCCTGTCTTTTATCCTTCCTCTTTCCATCCTCTCCTCTCTTCTAATTCATAGTCCCTTTTAAAGAACATTGGACCTACCCAAGCACTTTGGCAGTGAGCAGTTTTCCTTCAGGAAGGTACTTTTCATATAAGGAATGGTTCTGTACAAAGTATCGGGAAACATTCTGGAACAGGATTCGGCCCAGAAGAGAAGTGGACAATCTGAGAAGAGGAAGAAAACAAAAAATAAGTATTCTACAGCAGGAAGAAAGAAAAATAAAATGCATTTGTAGCATCACCAGTTCCATAACTAACTTTCACTACTTTAATTTCACAGGGTCAAGATAGTAGCCATGACATCTTGATTCCCAAGAATAAATTCATTTTGTGACGTCACATTATGCCAGAGACCATCCCCAAACAAGATTCAACAATCATGGAATCAAAATAAGTTTTTCAAGACACATCACTTGCCAGAATAATTTTCTCAGGCTACTCACCCAAAGAATACACCTGATGGAGTGATTGATTTGACATAGCCTCTCACTAGCTGGCCTTTTTTAACATCCTTAATACTTGTTATTTCAATATCCTCTACTTTGCTTTTTATCTTTGGATTTAGTCTAAAAAAAAAAAGAGAGGTTAGAAGTTAAAGAACTCGTCTGAATAATTCACATTCTGCTATGGATAGCAGAAAATAGATCAGTACTAACAACAGCTAGTACTCTCTGGAAAATATATTGGATCAGAGACACCTTTTGGTTTATTGAAATGTACTAATGGACTGCCTGCATCTCTGCCAAGCTCTACATAGCATTAGGGAATACACATCCTGCTGCAAACAAAGCCAAACATATCAGCCTGGCTTGCGCTGACACTAAGAAAATGAGGAGAGTAAAACGCTGTCTGAAATTTTGCACAGCATTTGCTTGTGTTTTCCCCACTTATTTCTAAGATACTTAACTCCACACTTTTGTTCCATACAGAAGACAAAGCAAGAGGCTCAGTTTTAAGAGACATTTAGGGGTAAGTCTATTATTTAATCAAAACTGTTAAAATGCAGCTGAACATTGAAACATAACATTTGTATTGCAAATTCAGTGGTAGAACTTCCTTCCCAAATAAGCAAACAAAAAAGATAAGGCAGGCCTAGAAACTATGACAAACAGAAATTAAATCTGAACCCACTTGAGCAGCTTTATGTTAAGTGTCAGACCCTTCAATGTTTGCTGAAAAAAGGAAAAAAAAAAATCTTTCTGAAACAGGAACAAGTATCACCTGTTACGAAAATGCATTCCTTGTTCTTTTAACATATCTCACTGATCTTCCCAAACAAACAACAACTGTATTTCATGATAATTTTTCACTAGGAGATCAACAGACTAAAGGGATGACACATACCGAGATTGCCGGAGAGATAACTGGATTTTATCATTCTCATTGGAGAGGATGTAACACCTGCATGGTAGAGGATGGGGAGAAAACAAAGCTTTTTTACATGCTAAAAAAGCAACAGGTAGAAAATAAATATTTGCACTAGCAGAAAAATAAACAAAGCCCTCAGTTCCTTGGAGCACTTTCTGTTTAATACAAACCAGCATGACACAATAATTCATAAAACTAGACAAAGGACTTTTGAAACATGTCTACTTGATTTACTCAGTCTCTACTGCCAGCACAAAAGAGTTAAAGATTGTTATACCTGAAATCATTTAGCCTGTTGCACTCTACAACATTTCCAACAAGTATGTGAAGTAGGGAAATGCATTTGCTTGTGCATTACAAATATAAAAACAACTCAATTGCCAAACAGCCCACAGAACCACTACAGAGCTGGGATACTGGCTACCCTTAGCCCCATCAGCACCTTAGCTAACAGAGTAGCTACTCTCAAAAAGACAGTCCATGAAAGCAGCTGCAAAGGGGCTTCTTCATAAATGGAAAATACAAGACTTTCACTCAATCATATATAAGGGAAGTCAGCATCACTTCTTAGCCACAGACTGACCTTATAGGCTGGCACTACCTCAAGGCAGTGATATTTCTAAGCCTTGCAGCTTGGAGGAACAAGGAAGACAACTACTGACCTGACAATCTTGCCAACTTTGAAGTTCCCCAGAGGATCCTCTGTGTAAGTATCATTCAGGTGAAAGATGCTGACTTTGCCAGTCTTCCCACCTGGCAGCGCAATGGTCAAACCAACGTGTGGAGTCACCTTTGTTACCTTGCCTACAGAGATGGTGTCCGGCTCCAGTGAGTGAATTCCTGGAAAAGGTGAAGGAAAAGGGCTTCATAATACTTGAAAATATGAAGCAAGAGGTAGTAAGTTAGTGTAGCTGATTTACTTGCCTAGTCACATATCAAACCCACAAACTTTTGTTAAGGTACAGTCTGTACAATCTCTGTTCTCTGCCACATTCTCTGCCTAGGTAGCCCAGACAAGGCCCCTTAGTTGCACAGTTCCAAGATCCAGAATAACTGACAAATGTTGATAAATGTACCACTTCATGTCTCAGATTAACAGGGAATATGTTCTGAAGGGCACAAAGAAGGGCTTCAGTTTGAGTGAAAAGTGATTCTTTATTCTAGAGGTCTGACCTCGCTTGCCTTAGATGCTGCTACCCCTAGGTCAAGGGTTAGTTCTGTTCTACAGGGAGGTACAGCTTGGTTCTGGAGTGTAACATCTTCACCTGAGGGGTCAATGAAGACCCAACTCTGAGTAAAGCATAACATGTGGTGGGGTCCTGCTGTTAAGGCTCCACAATACCTGTAAGTGACAAGCAGAGGTTTGTTTCAGAGGCATCTGTTCCAGTCACTGTAGCTGATATTGCCTGGCCATTTTTAAAGCTCTTTTCTGGATGTTTTAAGACCTGAAATAAAAGACATGTTTACACTTATTTCCAGAAAAGGAGCTTTGCACAACTCTGACTAGTGTTTCCCCTATGAACCTTTACACTTTCTATAAGCATCTTTGATGTGCTGTTGACTGATAGCTCAGCACTGCTTCAATGGCTCTGCCATCCTGAGCCAAACTAGCTACAGGCACAGTACTTGCTTGTTAGGGGCAGCAACGCCTAAAGGGCAGAGCACTGGGTTATGGGTTCACATGGATGTCAGAAGTGTCTGCAGTCATTACTTGTGGCCAAGCATAAGGAAAAAGAAAGTCTGTGTAGCTCACCAGTAACAGCCTCTTACCTTGGTGTTCAGAGACAACAGCAGGTGAGGAACTCTTCCTCGAATGTCGGGGGCGACTTCTACCTCCAGCCAGTTTTTGAGCATGTTATACTAAAAAGACACCAAATAGCCAGAGAAGACAGCATGACACCTTGGGGGAATAAAAATCTTCCCTGGCAGAAATTTTTCACTACTTTTTAAGGCTAAAAAGAACTAGTCCAGCCTTGGCTTCTGCACCAAGCAAAAATAGTGGCTTGGATTCTGTTCTTACAAGCATAACACTGCTGTGGTTCACAGGCAAATGCACACAGGTGATCAGCAACAAGTGTTCTTTGTGTTGGTGGCATACTCAAAGGCCATTTTACTAGAGCCTGCTGGCAACAAACAGGCATGTCAAAGAGGACAGGTCAGCCTGACTCCAACAAGTACTGAGTATTTTTGTTTCCTTTCTCTATTTTCCCCATTAGATGCTGCAGTTGCCATGGACCACTCTGACAGTTAATGAAGACCACAGTCCGGTATTTAGGTCTGAGCTAAGGCTCCTCAAGGTCACACCCACTTGCTGCCTCCCCCAGCACACCACTTAAGAAGACTTTGACCTCACCTTCTTTACAAAACAGATGACTGTCTGCCCAACATTGTAGAGTCCAAGTTTATTGAGGGAACTTTCTTCTTTAAGGTTCAGCAATGCTGTGAATTCTCCTTCTTTTTCACTGTTTGCAAAAGAAGAAAGAGGACATCAGTAAAACAGCTTTGGTTCTAATGATGAAGATGGAAGTTAAAAACCCTGGGGAATGTGCTGAGCTAGTACTACTGTGACAATGTCTTTCATCCCTCCACAGCTGCATTTTTTCTGTTGGGAATGAATTCTTCCCTGATCATAAGAGGAAATCTTTCTGACAGGAGTAGGCAAGACAGAGTCCAGATTGGTAGAACCTGATGCCAAAAGGACATTCAAAGGAAATCATGTGCTAGGAGAGCACTGTGATATTTAACACAGCTACAGGGCCCACGTTAGTGTGAAAGAGAGAGCATTGCCCCACTGCATACATGATTGCCCCACTGCATACATGAGGAGGTCCTTGCTCATAGCCAGCCCCTTCATGAATGAGAGGCACAAAGGATGGGATATCCAAGGATCCAAGGTCTGTAAAGCATATGCAGACACCACAGAGGCCAACACTTACCTTGGTCGAATGCTGAGCTCTGGAATGGATTGTGTGAAGTGTGGATGGGTGATTGGCAGGCACCTAAAGAAGAGATAAAGAGTCAAAGTTTCTCATGATCTTCCCAGGCCCTAGTAACCCACATTTAATGCCTCTGCAAAAAACCCACATGCAAGCCCTCTAAAACTACCAGAGCCTTCCAGTTCCAGTTCTTCCTATCACTATTTCAGTAGCAATTAATTAACCAAAATACCCCAGCAAATTTAGTCCCTGGGGCCTGTATTTAAGGCTTCCACTGGATCTTAAGAGTTTAGACATCTTTTTTTCTTGCAATCTGTACTCAAGATAAATACAGCAACACAGGCAGAAAGCTAACTTACTGAAAGCTGGATCTGGGATAGAATATAATATAATAGCAGATTTCCTCAGGCTTCAACTACTCCAGCAAAGGCAGCTATAACAGCACCTGCTGACTGAGGGCCTAAATGACCTGAATTGAAACACAGACTGTTTCATCCTTTGCGTTCCACCAGAAGAAATACCACGATCACGTTTTCTCACCTGTAAGTATTCACATCTCTGCCTCCAATGACTCGAGCGGTCACTTTCTGTCCGGTTTTCAGAGTAGAAGTTGGAAAAGAGCCTATGGGCACTTCGTCCAGAATCCGGGATGCATGGATTGAACCTGTCAGCTTGTCATCAATAGCAACAGTGACGTGGGTCGGTCTGACGGATTTAACGGTACCAGTAACAACATCCCCCGGGGAGAGCGAGTGCTTCACAGCAGGAAGCATCTCCTCTAATACGGTCTCTGACTCGTTCTGCATCCTTACAAAAACGTTCTTCTTGGCTGGGCCTTGTACTGCTAACAAGACCCCATGGTTGTTCTCCTTCACTGCTTTTAAGGTCACAGAAATTGTCTGTCCCACCCTCAGCTTTTCTGAGTCGAAGCGGAAGGTGTCATTGAAGTGGCAGGCGATGGGGACAGCTGCCAGCTGGCCTGCTCCCGGCAGAGATGCGATGGCAAAGTGCTCTGTGATGTGCTGCACCACCACAGAGTGCTGGGAATTCTCTCGGAGCCGCTAGACAGAAATGGACAGAGTGACTTCTCCTGCTGGGATTTTGATTCTCTCCACTCTACCTCCCACAGTTCTAAAAGAGGAAACAGGCCCCCTTTAAATTTATTAATCACCTACAGTTTTCCAGACAAACAGAAACACACAAACCCAAAAACTGAACGCATACTCACTTGCTTGGGTCTTTGCTTTAACAGTTCTTCCCGAAGAGAAACATGCACCTCAGATGTGAGGGCATCCACATGAAGTACAAATGCCTTCCTCTTCTCACCAGGAGAAATATTTTTGTCTGCAAATGAGAATAAGAAGATTATGTCCTGATGACAATGAAGAATTCTGAGCAACTGTGATAGTGGAACATGACAAACACGAAAGGTTTAATTCCTGAAGACCAAAGACTGCTTAATTACTAAGTAATTTTTAGTAAAATTACTAAATTACTACCAAATTAGTACCAAATATACAGTAAGTCTATTTAAGAACAGTTTCTTCCAATGTTACTGGAAATGAGAAAAAAAAGGAGACCATTGTATTTGAAAAAAAACTGATCTTTCTTGGAAAAAGTTGATTTTATGTAGACATGATCCTTAAAAAATTAAAGACAAGGCTGACTAAAAACAAGGTCAAGATAATATAGGTTTTGAAAAAGATTTTCCTAACATCTGCACAAAACTATCATCAGTCTATCACTCGCTAAGGAAAAAAAAAAATATTCTGAAACAGAAGTGCTTGGGTTTTTACTTCTGCTGAAGTTAGAGGTTTATCTTGCTTTCACTGGTTTATTCATTACTTCAGCAAGTATATGTTTGGTTTTGCACAATATGACATCTTTTAGTTTTGGAACTGGAAAATTATGGTTCTGTTTTAATGTCATTGATTTTTCAAGAAAAATTGTCAGCAATTTCAAGTAGATATTCCACGGAGTATGCTCTTTCTGAGGAAGAAGGAAAAAACCAAGAAAGCTGGAGCTTGTATTCATACTTGTCTATATACAGTATGGTTCAACTACAGATCTCTGAGCACAAACTAGATGCCCAAAATACGAGACAGGATTAACAGAAGCACAGAGAAGTTTATATCATATTTTCTGAATCACACAAATGGGCTAGCAAGACATTGGGAAACTTAACTACTCTTCAAGGCCATCCCTACTCAGATCAGACTTCTCCCTATTAGATCCTCATCAGCAGAATCCATTTTGGGAGAGGTTTCAAACTACAAGAATGAAAACTGACACAAGCAAAGATCCTCACCTTCCAAATGGTAGCGGGTGGCAGTTATAGTCAAGCCTTTGACAGGGCTGCCACTGAACAGTGCTGAGCCATCCTCCCTCACATCCTGCACGACCAGATGCACCCTCTTCCCAGGCACCAACTCACAAATGCTGGGCTTTCCTAAATAAAGGGATGAAAAAGCAGGAAATCAATTTTACTGATGCTGTTTCATTGCAAAACAAAGACAAGCCTTCACATTTATTCAGTGGCATGAAGCATTCATCTGTCTTCATAAGGGAAAACAAAGCCTAGGCTCCTGAATCTGCAGAAATACTAAGAGTTAATCAAAGTAAAAACCCTTTTGTGTCATTAAGGACCTAATAATTTTAGAGAGAATAGTTTCCAATCTTATATGAACACTGGAACCCAGCACTGCATATGGAAAAATGTGAAAGCAAAACAGATTAATACTAGAAGCACAAAACAGACCTGTCACTTCACAACTACAGGAAACAAACATTAAAAAGTACTGGATATAGGAAGAAACTAAAAAGACAAAGTAAGAATTTAATAAAAACACCAGAAAAACAGCATGTGAAAAAATCTGTGCTGGAAGACGTGTAATGCATGTAGGTAAATCTATTTGAACAAAGTCATTCTCATGTGAGTACTGTGTTTGGGTTATCACAAGCACTTGACCCAAAATCAATGCAAGTGGCTTAGTAGACTTCAATGAAAAGAGCTGTTTCTTTGGCTTGTTCCAGCTGTACCTACGAAAAGCCTCTTGTCAGTGGCAGACACTGCACACACATCCTTTTTCTTAAGTAAGATACTTTGGGAAGTGAAGCCTTTGCTTGAACTGAACTTTCACTCAAATGTTTTTCTTTTCTTGTTCCTCTAGAGCACATTTTCTTTTTTTTACTTGATACCCTTTAGCAGAACAGTCTTTTACCTCTTCTCAACAACTCCTTGATTTCTTTCAGCTCCTTGAAATATTGATTCAGGAGGGCAACGCTATCTGCAGCAGAATCTCCTGAGCTGCACTCAGACACCTTCAGATTGAGGAGCACACGCTGCTTCTCCTCATCAATGCTCATCACCTTTGCAATCACAGTCTGTCCCACCACAAAGTGGTCCTTGGTGTCTGTCACAAACTTGTCACTCATACTCTGTGCAAAGGAAACAGAGAGCAAGGTTACTGAGCACAGCTGGTACCGATCAACCACCCACAGAGCTGTTCAGAAGGGTTTGAGTTATGACTTAATGTAAATTCATAAGAGAAATTAACAAAGATGAAGAAAAACCCATCAATTAAAATTAATTACCGAGGTCACATGAAATCCTTGTTGAAGCTTAAGCTCACTTGAATGAAGTGCTTCATTTCATTCTGGAAGTGATTTAAAAGGCAAACCTAAACCCTTTTACCCTGCAGCAGGAAGCTGTGCAAATGCAGGGCCTGCAGCCCAGTTGCTCCCTCCTTGTTATTGTAGCTTTGCTAAAACTATGTTTCAAGCAGCCTGATCACACATAAGCTGCTTACTGAAGTGGAGGCACTGCTTACCACTTTAGGTGCCAGTCCTGTCACACCAAAAGGAAACTCCACAAACACTCCAAAGGGCATCATATTCCTCACATAACCAGTCAACAGCATGCCAGGCTGGATTTCAGAGAAGCTTCTCACAACTTGCTCCTCCTGTACAGCAGAAATCACTGAAGACTTTCTACTCAAGATCTGAACAACCAGTTAAGAAAAATGGGAAAAGATGAATGAAAGCAGCACGATGCCAACAAAATCTCTCAGTGCTGCTAACCATTGGGCTAAAGCACTTGCTGCAAGTTAGAGTACAGGAGCTCTAAATGCTGTAATTCCAATTTCTGTCTTGATCTTCCTACACAAAAATTTAGCAACTCCTGTCTCTTAAATTGCTCAGCATTAAAGATACATGCTTCACAGTAGCAAAAATATCGACTTCCTAATAATACAGTTCAGATTTTTGATATAAAAACAGCAAAATTTTTCCTAAGGTTGTGATAGGTTTAACTGTCCAGAAGTTGGCTGGGAAAACAAGTCAGCTCACAACCTAGTTCTGAGGAGATTCTAGCCCCAGCTGAGCCTCAGTTCTAGCACAAGTTATAACGCCCCTCTGAAGTATCATTAGCATGATAGGCACTTCCACTTCAACTAACTACAGTAATCTTACGTTTGTTGCAGATACTCCAAAATCTTGAGAGTTACCTCCTTTCCCCACACTTTGCTTGCCTGGTTGAGGTGGAAAAGGATACAATGTGCTCTCCCTTGTCACTTAGATACATAACTCTGGGCAGGACATCTCCCTCTTGAAGACAGTGCCACAGGAGCTTGGAGGTAGCAATGAAGTCAGAGAGGTGCAGCGTGGGGATCCAGGCTACCACATTGTCTTCATCTTCTAAGATGGAAACTTCTAACCCATTATCTTTCTTCTTCAAGATTTTCACATCAACTATCTGAAAAGAGAATAAGTACAGTGATATAAAATTCCAAGTGTTTTTGAAGTCATCTCCTTTGATGCACAGGGGATGTGATGGGCTGCAGGGGATCTGACGTTGCCTCCCAGTTATACATGAAAAACTCATCAACAGGGCCGAGCTAAAAAGCATGCCAACGCTGCAGGTAAAATAAAAACTAATTCTCAGCTCCCAGAGAAATAAAGAGCTGGAAACATTCTCTTGGTTGTGACTTTTCATTTGAAGGGCAAAGGGAATAATTTAATCAAGATTAGAGCTGTACTGTTCCTGCATTAGAAATACCTGCAGGGAGTTGGAAACTGTTTATTGCAAAAACAGGGAAACATTTCAAAACATTTCTCTAAAGCTTTTTTTTTTTTTTTCCCCGAGAGCAAAAGCAGCTGTTTTTGGAGCAAGAAAAACAGCAGCATCAGAAAATAAAAAAAGAAGACTTCACCTAGGAGTAGGATTATTAATTGGTACCTCCAGGACTCTCTGGGGACTCCTTTATCCTGAAAACTTAGGTATCGTTTTTGATCCAGGAGGTCAAACACACAGTAAAAAATGCACATTTAATGCTAGTTCCTGATCACCACCAGCTTTCTTGAAGCAAAGTTGTTCAAAGTATACCAAATCATATGGAAAATGATTAGGAAAAGGCTAAAAAGGAATTAGCCATTGAATTCAATACCTCTCCTATTTGGTATTTCACTTCCTGTTTCTCCTTTGGAGTACATTTCCATTTGTCCTCAGGGCCAGGTTTGCTTGATAATCTGAAGGACAGCAAGAGTCTTTCCTGCTGAGGCTCACATTTTAAGACCATTACTTTAAGAACCTGCAGAAAAAAAAAATAGAAGTATAAAACACAAGTTAAGTTCAGCTGACATTCCTCCTCAGTTTGCTACCACCTACAGAACAAGACAGGGACATACATACACAGTACACTTTTGTCTCACACCTGAGGATAGCAGGCCAGTGGCAAAAACCTAACAAGTTCAACCACAGACAAATGTCCTTCAGATCACACAGATGTAAAATAGAAATACATAATCATTAAATGAGCTTGTGAAGGTATGTAACAGGTCTATAGCACGGTTGAGAATAAAATCCAGATCTCCAGATCTGCAGTCAGAAATTCCGACTAGAAAATTACCTTTCTCGTAAGCCAGCCAACAAAAAACAATATTAAAGACAAAGAAAATCACCAGAAAAAATAATGAAGACAGCTGAGATCTCTGTAATTTTGCCCACAACAAAAACCAGAACTGTGAATAACACAGTTCCTAAAGTGCCTGTAATTTGAAACAAACAGGATAACCAGAGTAACACTGAGGCAGAAAACATCATCCTTCTGATTCTGTAGGTAAGAGAGATACATTAATTACCTGGCCTTCAAAGAAGACTTTATCTGGACAAGATATGGGTTCTGAGCCCAGCTCATTCTTGGGTACCAGACCTTTGACATCATTGTAGAACTTAACAATGCAGCCAAATTCCCTTGCACACACTACAAAGCCATGTGTGATCAAGCCTGGTTTTGCATCTTCATAATTTGAGAGGACTGGAAGCTTTGATTGGACGAGACTTTTCTTTAGAGTAAGGATCAGCTTCTTTCCTCCAGGATTGCACTCCAGCACCTACAAGAATGAAGTATAGAGGTTCAAAAAGCATGTCTGCCCTTGCCTAATCAATCCAGCTGCTAAATACTCAGAAGAGTGTAAAGCATCTGAAGATCCTGTCTGGCAGCTCTCACCCGACACTTGACTTCATCTCCTATGTTGTACTTCTTCTCAGGCTGCTTCAGGATCACATCAGAGAGATGGAGGGATGGCACAAGTCCTCTAATCCCATCAGCTACTTTCACCTGCATCCCAATGGGTTTTAGAGAGACCACTTTGCCCTAGAACCCAAAACAGAGGAAAGAATTGGTAAATTGAGCATGAAAAGCAGTCTGTGGACAGGTAGGAAACAGCCAAGACACTACAATAGATACAACACCAAATCTAATCACATTTAAAAAAAAAAAAGTCATCTTAGACCAAACTACACTGCACCAAACTAATCTGACCCTTTAACTTTTATAGACTTCATAAGGTTGTTGTATACCTCTTTTCTTTTAAGCATATACTACTTCTGCAAAATCCTTATTGATACCAGCAAACTAGAATTGTTTCCAGAGACATATCCAATACAGCCATGATTCAGACATAACAGTCATAATGAGTAACTTTCTGCCCATCAGCTCATTGTGATTGCTCATACATGAACTTTTACTTTGACTGCAAGGCAAATTTTAGTTTCTCTCGCTCAAGTCTTTCTAAAAATGTATTCATGGCCACAAATAGATGACTGACCATAGATAAAGTTTGATTGCCTTTGCCATATCATGATAAAAACGTGAACAAAATGGGAAGTGTTGCATTCCTTTAATCAAGTCCTGCAAGACAAGGTTTTTTCTCATTTTCAACTCACTAGTCTAGATCAGAAGTTAGACACACATAATGGCAGAAGGAGTGCACATAGGCAAGACCACTGTTTTAAGTATAATATGCTCAGATCTTTCAGAAGCTCACCTGCACCACATCACCCGTGTGGATATCCTGGTATTGCAGAAACTGTGCTTCAATAATCTGACTAGAGAAGAGACACAAAGAGAAGACCAGTCAGTCATCTCGAAGGAAATCCAGGATAAGACAAGACAGTCCCATCTCTGACTTGTCCCAAATATCCATTATTCCACACACTCCCCAGTGTTCTACAACTCCAGAGCTGTGTTTTACTCCAAGTGACAAATCTCTCAAAACAGCTCTTAGGACATAAAGTTCAGGGAGGTTCACCAGGCTCCATTCCAGGTGACAGTCACACAGTTATGGCCTCATGAAAGGAGAACCCATTATCTGATTTGCTTAAAGCCACAAAGTTGGAAGTGCTAAGAGGGACTTTATAATACAAATGAGCTGCAAGATCAAGGCTCGATTTCCTGCTGAGCCATGGTCTTCTGACACATGGCAGAAGTAATTTAGCCTCCTTGTGCCTCAGCTCACCAACAATACTGATGGTATCCCAATTCCACAGAGTACAGAGAATATGTGCAGGATGCCCAGACAACCTGATGTGCCACAACATAGATACAAGTCAAAAAACCCTGAATGGCAAGTTCACCAGTCTTCTGGAAGAGTCTATCATACTCACTGTTTCAGAGATACAATACACATCTCATCCATCAGGCTGTAGTCAATGATCCGACATTTATGTTTGCAACCTTCCTTAAATGCCCCAGGTTTAAAGGATTTTCTGGTTTTTGAAAGATGCTTCAACTAGAAAAAAAGGAATTACAAGTGAATGTTTGGAAAGCGGAAGCACTGATATGTGCCTTAGGCTGAAGTGAGCATCTGACGAATCTGTTCCTCTAACATTCTCTTTGTGCAGGTTTCACCAGCTCTTCTTGCACAACAACTCTCCTACATTTCAATTCAAACAAGGGGATGCATCATTTGACGAACACCTTGCATGCTGGCTTAATTTTATTGTATTGTCTCACAAAGAGGATAAAGGCAAAAAGTAAAACCCTCTCCTAGCTCCCTTTCCCAGCAAGCTAAGACAGATATGAAGGACTTGCCCCAGCAGCCTGGCACTTACCCGTGCAAATGCAAGAGTGCCATCATCAAGCTCAAAGACGGCCCCAAACTGCTTGTAGAAGGTTTTCACCGTGGCCTCCTCCAGCACTGCCCCCATGCGCTGGGCAGGGAGCTGGCGTGGGGTTCCCCCAGGGTGCAGGAAGGGCGGGCGCAGCGTGAGCCGCACTGCCCTCGACGTGGGGTGTACAGACAGCACACAGGCCTTCACCTGGGAACACAGGGGGCTCGTTAAACCAGAGGACAAAAGGCACCTCACTCATTCTTGCATAGATTCTGCTTGGTACCTGAACTCTCTGTCCATGTACAACCACTTCCAGTGCTGCTACTAAGACATCACTCGCTTCTAACAGCTTCACCAAGGAGGGGTTTTTGCTTTTGTCTGTTGTTTACAGACTAGGCTGGTATCAGTGCAGGGAGGGGAACATGACCACACAAGTCATCCCTTGCATCCCTTGCAAATCTCCAGGCTTCCCAAATAAGTCCTCCAGGAATGGCTTTGCTCTTTATAGTTTTAAAGCAGCCAATTCAAGTAAATCCAAGTAAAAGATATGAAAGAAGCTATCAGCCTTAAGATATCAGAGATAATTCCACAGAAATGTTGGAGAAGTAAGAGATGTTGTAAGCAACATAACTCCAGGCATCCTCCTTACCACTTGATCTGGAGAATAGCTCATGGATTTCTCTGGGTCCATGTGCATGAAATCCACAATGCCAGTAAAGTAAGACAGAAATGTCAGTTTCATCCCAAGTGGGGCCACCTAGGAAAGCAAATGAAAAGATGACAAAAAAATTTCCACACTCAGTTTTCATGCAGCACAGAGAACAATTCACACATTTCAAAAAAGGGCACTGTCAGTGTTAATCAACAAGCACATCACAAGAGACAGAAAAAACTGCTAACAGTTCTGCTTTGCACACTGTTGAAAAAAAACAATCCTTCAGTTTTTTGATAAAGCTGTATGTAGTCTGAAGACTACTGCTATCCTGTTGAATACCTTAGCAGTAAAGGCCAGAAAGCACAAAATGAATCCTGTTCTGCTTCAAATTCCATCACCAGCTTCAGCCTTTACACTCAGGGCATCACAACCAGAACTGAGATCAGACCTCATGTAATGGTGGTGGATGGGAGTGTCTAGCAGATTATGTTTGCTAAGTAATTGAGACCAATCAAAAATTTTCAGGGCATAAACTCTCATCTCTGCTTCACCTGTCTCCTGCCTTCAACAACACTCAGAAGAAACCAACCCAACAAAAGAAACCTAAACCAGAGCTTACCTTCTGTACTCGAGCTTTCACCACCAGCCCTGGCAATAAATTAGAGAGTGTCCAGTTCTGTCGCTCTGTGGCAATGGATGCAGCCACCTCCGATCGATCAATGGACAAACAGACCACCCTGCCCTCATTCTTCACTTCCACAATGAGGCAGTTCAGGTTCTGGCCTATTTTCAAGTCAGGCCCTACAAAGACGAGTCACAGCATAAAACCTCTACCAGGAGCACTCAGTATTTCCTCCCATTTTTTCCAAAGATTTTACAGAGTTTCCTCTCAATCTAAGTGAAGTTTGGTGCCAGCAGGGCTTGGAACACAGTCTGTCAGATCACAGGCTGAAATACAAAGACTTGTTGCAGACCAGCCACAAAACTGCTGTTTGCAGCAATCTGCAAAGATTCCACTTTGACCCAATCCCACCAAGGTCCACTAACACCACAGATAAAATAAACTAATCCCTGACAATCTCCACCTCCATTTTAACCCATCAGAACCTCCTGCACTACTTCTTACCTTTCTTGACTGCTTTGATGTAATTTTTGGCTTTCTCATGAGGCAGGAAAGCATGAGTTCCAGTGACACCAATATCTATGAGGTAGCCATGGTCTTCCATACTCAACACAGAGCCAGAGAGCAGCTGTTGAGAGGAAAGCATTGCAACTCAGTAACGTAATGAAAGAGCTGGGTCTCGAAAGAATGAACATATGGCAAGAGATTCCCCATCCAAGTACTCCCTTGTTTTGTATGGACAGAGAACTGAGCTTTCCAGAGCAGTAACAAGAACATTACATTATTCTTATCACACAGCTCAGCTAACAGTGAGATATGAAGTCTACCTTTATTTAGCTATGCACACAAGGAGCTCACAAACCAGTAGGAAAAGAATAGCGATGCTCAAATATAGCAGGTGCATAAAATCATACAGCTGTAAACACAAAACATAAACAACCAAGCACCTCTGCAAGCCATGTTATATGTTACTCTCTGTAAAAATTAACAAAGAAACCTATTCAGAAAAAAGTAATTAAATAATTTTGCCATACTGAAACAGAATAAAGTGAATTAATTTCATGAATGACAACCTGGAGACAAGAACTAAACCCAACCTCACTTCACAGGTCTCTTCCATGGTGGGAGCAGCTCCACATTCAGTTCTGATCCCATGTAAGGACAAATTGGAATGCAAGAGCCCAGAGAGGTTGTGACAGACCCAGGAAACTTACCATGCCCACTGCTAGTGTTGTAGAGCTCAGGCCCTTGTTGACCTTCTTGGGGTCAATCGATAACTTGACACTGCGACGTCCATCGTCACTTTTCTCAATGCTGGTCACGATGCACCTGACCAGTGTCCCTGGAGAAAACAGTTCTGGAAGCGAATTCAACTCCTGCCCAGCAACATGACCAAAAGAGAAACATACAATTTTTACAATATTAAATTATATAAGGCTAGACTATGTTACTGAAACAGAGTTTGAAACCAAAATCCCATAGGAAAGTCCTGCTTCTCTGTCAACACTACAGTAACAGGCAGGAAATCCCACAAACACCAGGATCTCAATAGAGAGGCAGGGATGACACTACATCATGTCAGCAAGACTGAGGGGCTTTGCTTCAAAACACTGTGTGGAGTCAGGAGACTGCAGCTGAGGAAACATCTACAGAGCCAACAGTGACCCTAACCTAGCCTCCTCCTTCAGCAGGGAAAAACACCACCAGCAAAGGGGTAGTGCTAATCCCACATTCCACAACACCTTGGGAAAACTTAGGCACCACTGACCCCAGAGAGGCAGGGTAACTGATTATTTCATTTTATTTTTTCCTAGCAGTCAGCTGTTACCAGGAAATTGCAAAGTTTGCTTGGAAAATCCAGTTCCAAACCAAGGTTAGTCAATGTCAAGCTCCTAAGCAAGACCTCAGGATTGATTTTGAGGTACTAAGAACACACTCTAGCTCCAAGCACAAATCACAGCCCCAGTGCCAGGTCTCACCTCCAGGAGTTCTCCTTGGGCCACCTGTTTGGTCAGCAGTTTGCTGTAGGCATCGCTGACCTGCGTGACCGGCACAAATCCGGAGAGGCCGTTGGGCAAACTGATGGCGAGGTCGTAGTCATTGACCTCTTTTATACAGCCAAGGAGCAGCATTCCCTCACTGAGCACCTGGGAAAGCAGGAAAAACAGCATACTACAGATATCTTGGCAAGTCAATGATAACAGGGGGATAAACAGTTAAGTTTTGTACTGGATCACTGATATATTTGGCAGGTTTAGGGAGGAAAAATATGCCATTTTTATGTAGCCCAGAAAACAGAGGCACACAAAATCAAACATTTATGCACAAACCTCAATTGTGAGTGGTCCAATATTCATAATATTGTCTTTAACAGCAGCTGTTTTGTCTGCCTTGAACCTTTTCTGCTTTACTTGATCCTTCTGGCTCCTTTTTCTTTTCTGGGATTTTTCTTCATGTTGAACCTAAAGCAGATTACAAGCACAGAAAGTTAAAAAAATAAAAGTGGATAAAGAAACAAACTTTGCACTATGGTAGAACTCTGCTGACATGAATAAAATACTGATTTGGACAAAAAAAAGAGAACCATCTTGCTAACTATTATCTGTCTACATGCAAGTCTTCCAAAGTATCTCCTTTGGAAGGAGAGGCTGATCATTTATAAAACTGAATCTTGGGAATGAAAAGAGTGGTGCAAGAGATCTGCATCACACTCTACTAACAAAGACGACTTAGCCTGCGTCCAGTAACACCAGGCTCACCATACAGCATTTTGGGATAAGATGTTTGTGGAAAGTTTAAAAGCTACTGCCTGATCAATAATTTTGACTGAGCTTTCTCAGTTGTCATATTCAAGATGTACCAGATATCAGGGATCTTTCAGAGATCAGAAGGATGGTGGATGTCAGGAGACGTCTATTTTTGAGTCCCTTCTGCAGTTTACTGTAGAAGTAACAGGTAGAGAAGGTTGCAATCAAATTCTGACAGTGTAAGAGCTCTGAGAAGTTAATCAAGAACATGCAAACAACGTACATCAAACAAATTGTCCCGCTCTAACTTTGGTTTGGGTGTTTTTCCCTCTGCAGGTTTCTTCTGGATGCCCCCTCGAGGAAAGTTTTCTTCCATGGATGCCATCCTTGCACTGCTCTGGGACAAATTACAAAGCAGAAATGAAACATACAGTTATTGTGCTTGTTCCTCACAAATAATGAGGTGGACCACCCAAAATAAGAAAGACTTTGGATGGCTGCTCTAGTTAGTCAAAAAACTCACATCCAAATGGATTTAACATTTGACTAGAATGAAGTGCTGCAATAGTCCATCTAATTAGGCACATTCATAACACTTTTTACTACTGCACAGTTTCAATGAAATATTACAGTATTAATTTTTAAGACACTTAAACACACCACATATATATTCATAAAACTGCTTTAACCATATGTTTCCTAAACCAGCCTTTATTATATTCAGTGTCTGAATTTACCAGTTTCAGTAATCAAGGAGAAACAAAACACTACATAAGCTTGGCCTTCATTTTTACTTTTTGAGTGCTACCTATAATTAATTTAACTTGCTACTTCTTTATCTAAGCCATAAGTATATGTATATAAAATAAGTAGTTAACCTTACTATTTCAATCTATAAAAACCACCTTGCTTATTAGGCAACAATTCACTTGTTACTACTACTAATAAATAATAATAAATAAAAGTAGTTGCTAGTACTGTATTATTAGTGCTTATTGCTCTTATACTAATACCATTGCTTCTTATTAGCCAACAGTTCTTCTAAAAAAATAGCGTTGAAACCCTATGTTGTCAAACTTGAGGCAACCTGTTAGACATACAAAACTTATTTAAATGGGAAGCACACGATAAAGCGAAAGCCCATCAAGGCACGCTTCACCTCAGGGCTCGCTAAGGAACACAGACACCTCCCGTGGCCGGCAACGGAGGCGGCTCCGCTGGAGCGGACAGGGCTGGGATCTTACCTGCCCGGGGCCGCTGCCAGGGGGAAGCGCGGGATCTAGACCGTTCCCAGGAGCGCGATGGGGCCGGTTCCCAGGATGGGGCCGGTTCCCAGGAGCGGGCCGGTTCCCAGGAGCGGGCCGGTTCCCAGGAGCGGGGGCGCACGCGGCACCGGGCGGAAGCGGCGCGTGAGGCGGGGGGAAAGGGAGGCCGGAAGTGCCGGGGCTGCTCCTCCTCCTCCCGGCGGGAAGAGGGCGGGGCCAGGCCGCGCCCCGGGGGCCGCAGCCAATCGGCGCGGGCAGGGACTGCGCGCGGCGCCCGGGGCCGCCATCTTGTGGGAGGGCAGAGGCGAAGGGCAGAGCGCGGCGGAGACGGGGCGGCCGAGGTACGGCGGGGCGGCCTGGGCAGGGCCGGGTCCTGGGCCGGAGCTGGGTCCTGTTCCTGCCGGGTGGGAGGGCGGCTCTCCGCAGCGCCTGGGCACCCGCGACATTCAGCCGCAGCGTCGCTCCCTCCGAATGCCTCCGCGTCCCTTCCCCGGCCCGACGCGAGCGCGGGGTTGCGGGTGTAGCCGGGCAAGGGCACAGAGCTCCTCCGGAAAACAGGACTCGTGTTGTCACGGGGCGCTTTCACGTCCCCGGAAGGGCGCCTCGGCTCTTGCCCAGGATTTTGCATCGGTCAGGCACGGGAAAAGATGACCTTGGCTTCTTAAGTCTTTGCCAACAGCGTGTGGCACACGTTTAGAGGGCTGTTTCATTAAGTTTTTTAACAACTGCAGTCAGCCGAGCTAACGCTTGCCTGGTTCTACGCCAGAGTAACGCTGCTGGATTGGGTTAGATAAGCGATAGATGGATGACACATAGGAGCTGTATGACCGCAGCACCTGCTGTGCAGTTTCGTGTGTCTGCTACAGGGGCACCGGGGGCTGCAGCACCTGCCTGGTTGAGGAACTGTGTCGGGTGTGGGATGCCTTAGGAGGGAGGCAGAAGACAACAAATATTTGTCCTAAACATAACATCCTCTTCAGAAAAATATATCTCTAAACATTAAAAAACCACTCTGCTTTTATTATGCAGTGAACCCTTTATTTGCTTATCTGCTCCCATCACCTGTTTTGTTCTTCGAGAGAAAATGCTCTAGATGTGCCTACTCCTTATGTATATCCACTACTTGTCAAATGTCCTGAAAGCAGATTTAGGAGTAGACAATGGAATTATGAAGCTCAGTGTAGAGATTAGTTTAATTTTCCTATTGATCCTATCCAAGTGACTTTAAATTAATTAACTGTCCTGTACTGTTTGTTAGGACAAGCAGCCATGGCTGGCCATGACTCGGGATCCCAACACCAGTTCACTGGATTTCAGAAGTACTTCAATTCCTATACCATCATAGGCAGGAGAAATGTATGTATTATGTACATAGCTTTGTAGTCTTGTATAATGGTGTCTTCTGGGGCTTAGATGGAAACTGAATTTAACTTTTCTGTTTTCCAGTATGTAATAGCAACGTACACAGGTGTTGCACTCCTTGTCTTGTATTTCAAGTTTAGGCCTAAGAAGCAAACACCTGCTGTGACAGCTAAGTAAAAGGTAAGTGGCTGATGTTCCTCCAGGACCAAAATGTTTCAGCTCAGAAAGCGGTGACAAAGGACTAGTTGCCAACAATACTGTGTAATGAAAGACAGAAACACAGGCACGTGGACTTCCTCTTTACCATTTTAAACCTCAAATAATCTATAGCATCAACTACTTGGGGGCATTCTGCGTGAAGTGGGTTATTAAAGGGAGTGCAGAAAGTATGGGATACAATATTGTTGTTCTTCTGACATAAATGGGACTGGGGATGGAATGCAGGGAGGGAGGAACAGAAGGATGTTGCAGCAAGATACATTAAGCTTTGCCTACAAATATTAGGTGCTTTTGGTCTGCCCTTTTGCTGTAATATAGGGATAATTTGCTTTGTAGGTTACTGAAATAATGAAGTAGTGCTTAAGGACTTATTTCTTGGCTGTATTAGAATTCCAAGTAGAGATTATTGCAATCTGTTAAAACCTTCATTTGAACAGAGTAAAGGAGCACCATATGATGGAAATGTGTGTTGCACACAATTATTCAAGGGCCATGCAGAAGTGACTGAACTTGTATAGCAACAACCAAGTGTTACAAAATTTTGGAGTCACTTTCAAATAAAGAGTTTTCACCAAAATGGCATTTTGGCAAAACCTATCGGCTGTCCTCATAGCCTGAAGAAAGGCATATAAACCAATAAGCTTTAGCATTGTTGTTGTGTGTTAAGGGGACATCAGTCAGTTCTTCCTGGCTGTGCTGAAATCTGGCTGCTCGTAGCTAAAATAGTTTGGGCTTGGGGCAGGGGGATGCTCAGTTAATATCGTGCAAGAATTGCTATGTTTGACCTTTCTTCTCTTGGCAGGTTCCTGGCATGTCTGAACCTCCAGTCTGTGTCAATGTAATTAATGCAAGCTGATGACCTGTTGTGGCTAATAAAATATAAATAATTACATGTTTTATTGGAAGTATGAAATAGTCCAAAAAAGCTGAAGTGTGGTACTTCTTATTTTTCCTCCTTTGTCAAAAATAGTTGCTTGTAGCAGAGATGGAGCAGCTGATTGTGTCGTTACTATCTTAACTCTGCTGCTGTTGTAACACATCCTGAGGTGTTCTGAGCACCAGGCAGTGACCTAGGAGGGACCTCAGCTGCACAGCCATAACACTGAACAGGGCCTGGAGCTGATCCAAGCATGATCCACATGTCTTTGTCACAGCTTGCATGGTTTGCAGCCACCTGCTTGCTCCCACTTTTTGCATTCCACATTTCCATGTAAGCTAGTAGCTTACATGGAAACCATGACATCTTCAGTTGTCTGTATTTTGCCCAGAACCTTTTTAGCTTTGATAGAAAAGCTTAGAAAATAGGCCAACCCAGTTACTGTGTTTAAACATTTTCTGTTACTGGCTTCTCTTGTGGAGAGGAAAAGGAAAATGACTTAGCCTGCTGATGTTAAGCACCTGTAACTCTGCACACTCATAAACACTGACCAAATAGTTCAGTGCTTACTTTTCCTGTCTCTTATGAAAGGAGGTGCTCTACCACAGTTAGGTGTGTGCAGCCTCCTCCCTGCCAACACTAAAATCTGTCTCATATTCTCCACAGTGTCTTTCTGTAGGTTAATTAAAACTTGGTACCTTCCTTAGATGTCACAGTAGTGCTGATGTGGGAGATGATACTATGCTTCTGCTAGCAGCAGGGGTTGAACCATTCCAAAGCTGGCAAATACCCTTCCCAACCTGAAAGCAGCAGGAGGTAGGAATGATTGCTGGAAAAAAATGGAAAAATTAATTATGGGGTCTTGATGTTCTCTCTACTTCATTTTTTTTAAAGCCATTTTTTGTACATGCTGGGTCTGCTGAACAAATCTAGTCATCTTTCCCTCCTGAGTGTTTGCATTGATGGCTTCAGCTGTATTTAATTCCACCACCGAAGAATGACAGCTCTAAGAGTGTAATAGGCTCAGGAGCTAGAACCTGTCCCCTTCCTTTAGAACAAGATTGATAGGGAATGGCTACTCCTTAACTTAAACATTTCTGATTACTTTGTTTCTCTTAGCAGAGTTGTCACAGTTACAAACTGTTTTTGCTTCCACTGCAGCCATTAAGGAAATATCTTGTAACAACATATAGACACAAACTGTGGTTTTAGTATTTATTATAATATCAAAAGTATAAAACTGTACAAAACACAAAGGCAGAATGTGGCAGTGTTTTCTTTAAGCTATCAAAAATTGTACTTAGATCTAACTGGTCATATTGAGAGCTAGGAAATTTTGTTGAGGTATCATTACACAGGAAAAAAAAAAGTTTCAGCTTTTTTCTTTGAAGAAAATGTCTAGGTGTCCTAGTGAGTTTTCCACTTTTTTTTTTTTATGTATAATGCCTGTAGTATAGCTTTACTCTAAGAGTTAGAGAAAGACGAGATGAAAGAGGAGGTAGTTCTCCATTTACTTGACCTTAGAAATGACAAGTCTTGTTTTTATTTTCACTAGAGACCCAGTAGTTTGTTCAAGTGTGCAAGTCCTTACTGTGAAGTAATGAGGAACACAAAACAGGTTTCTCTGCACAAATCTTGTAAGAACAAAAACCAACCCAAACCCAAGCCACACTGGACCTGGCCTTTGGTGTGCTGTTTTCAATTCAAAGACACTGACATTAAAATAAAACACAGCCTTATTGTAGTCCAGGAGGACCCACTGGGTACAATCTTCTTGTAGATAGGAATTGTCACTCAGCAGACAAGCTGGCCTTTCAAAAACCAGCTGATGATGTGCTTAGCCTTTTGTGCTGCTATAATGTTTCAATTTCTTGGCTAGTTTTACTGGTTTTTTATGTTAAGCCTTATGCAGAAAGGATACAGGTTGTTAATCTTCTTTTACATCTAATACAAAGTAAAGAGTTTAAGTCCACATTTTTAATAGTGACTGTTTCAGTTGTGCCTCAATTCCCCTTTTTTATTTTCTCATACATTGAAGTATGAAAGTAAATAAAGTTCACATTGCACTTCTGGTTGCTTATCACACTGACAGCACTGGCTACCTTTGAAAACAGTAACAAGATCTGTGTTTCTGACACCTCAAAAGAGCACATGAGTTTGAAATCTTTTCAGGATTTAGTATCTGGCTGCATAAAAAGCATGCACGGAGCTTCGCGACAGTTCCCCACAAGCATTGGGCTGTCCGGCCCACTCCATCAATGCCCTGGTTGTTGCTATGATCTCACCACACCTGCTGCCCAGCCCAGGCTGTAGTGAATCAAAACTACATTCTTCTTTCCTGAAAATGGACAGTTTTGCTTGTGTTTGAGACTGATGAAACATTTGTTAACCATAAATTAAGTGCTTTAAAAAAATCTGAGAACACATGTAAAGGCTGTTAACTTTTCACAAGTTTCGGCAGAGCTCAGTACCACCTCTGGAAAGAGATGCTCATTTCATAAGTATCTATGTTACCAAAAGCACCACGAACAGTTCCTTCTTTTACAGCCACAATGTCTTGTCAATCTCCAGCATTTTCAAATTGCAGATAAATATGAAACAGCAGAACTGAGAAACGCTGCTTATATTAATTACAGTTTCATACTCCTTGCAATGGAGTCGTGGAGTCCTTCTGTTCAAGACATTCCCTCGTCTCACGTCCTGAGGTCACTACTGCAATGACTTGGCACAGTCAGTTTCAGCTTCCTGATCTACTGTGAGCTGTAGGCTCCCGCAGCCAGCAGCAGGTTCCTGCGTGTGAAATGGAGATGAACAACGGGGGTTGATTTGGTCATGTATGTGCCCAGTAACAAGTCCTGTGAGTTTTCAGGCAAATTTATGTGTCCAGTGGCTGTAGTGAAGTCATCGGTTTCTAAGTCTTCAAAAGCCTTCACAGCATCCCACAGACGAACTGTGTTATCCATTGAACCTAAAAAGAAAAAAAAAACCCCACAGTTTAAAGTATTTTATTAATAAAATAGTATATGAAAAATGGTTCTGGGGAGCAAGTTAACAGAAATTAAAACTCAGAGAGCGGAAAACTATTGCAAGCCTCATAGCATACTGAATGCACACATAAGTTACCAGTCCTTGCTGCTTTTGCTAAGCAAGTGATTCTCCTTTGTCTTTCTCGATTTAAGGAACTAATTATATAATTCCTTTCCAGAATTATGGAATACAATGGACACTTCACTGTTCCTGGTGAATTTTACCTGATGCTAAAATCTCCCCATCCCTACTGAATCTGAGCGCGTAGATAGTGTCAGTGTGCCCTTTCAATTCGCCAACCATCAAGCCATGTCCAATATCCCACAGCAGAACTCTTCCATCTGTTGCTCCAGTAGCCAGGAATCGTCCATTAGGAGAAAATGCCAATGAATGAATTGGTCCCTAAAGTAGACATGGAAAGGCAGTAAAACAAGTTAATTAAGTCTACTCACATTCAGTCAGTCAAGCTGTGCTCAGAACAGAACTGTAAAGAATCTCTTTCAATAAATAAAATCACTTTCACACTGTCAGTGAACTGCCTTTACCTTATGTCCAGTGAATATTCTTACACAATTCCCATTCAAAACATCCCACAGCCTTATAGTCCTGTCTGCTGAGCCTGTAGCAATATAGTTGGAGTTTGGATGAAATCGGGTACATGTCACATCTGCAAGATGGCCAGCAAAGATCCGTAATGGCTGGTAGTGATCTGTTGCCCACAGACTGAAAATAAAAAAAGCTTTATTAATAAAAGATCCCTAAAGAAGTTCAGTCTCTGTATCTGTTGGAGCAGCTCTCCAGTGAGGAAAGGATAACAGTTTAGCCTGGAGAAGAGTTGGCTCTGGGGAGACCTTGTTGTGGCCTTTCAGTACTTACAGGGGGATTAGAAGAAAGATGGGGACAGACTTTTTATCAGGACCTACTGCAACAGGACAAGGGATAATGATTTTAAACTAAAGGAAGGTAGATTTAGTCTAGATATAAGGTAGACATTTTCTACAATGAGGGTAGTGAAACACCCAAGTTGTCCAGAGAGGTGGGAGATGCCCCATCCCTGGATACATTCAAGGTCAGGTTGGGTGGGGCACTGAGCAGCCTGATACGGTTTAAGATGTCCCTGCTCATTGCAGGGCTGTTGGACTAAATGGCCTTCAAAGGTCCCTTCCAACCCAAACTGTTCCATGATTCCATGATCAGTTGCACAATGAGAAAAAAAAGTAATTGTGGAGTGATTTCTTATGGATCAGTTTATCGAATTGGCAGAATGTTTTTTGGAAAAATATACTTTTCAGAATGGAGAAATAAAAAATATTCTGTCAAGTTGTTCAACAATTAGAGGAGAATACTTCTAATCAGAGGGTCACTTAGGAGGACATCATCTCTTTAGCCATCAGATAATGTAATGTGTGTTTAAAAAAACAGAAAACTGCATTAAAGCATTTGTTCAGAATTTTAACTGACATAAAATTTATTTTGAGTAATAGAGTAGGCAAGAGTGTATTAGCTAATGACTTTCAGGGTTGATCCGCCACAAACTGACCCAGACAAGTAAAAAAAACACATGCAATTTCTTACCGAGCCACTCTGTCATGTCCCCCAGAAACAAAGTAATAGCCGTAAGGAGAGAACTGTGTATCCCAAACAGGATAGTTGTGTCCTTTATATCCCACCAAACATGTGAATGTTTGGAGACTCCACAATCTCACGGTGCCATCCTCAGAACAGGACAATAGATAATTCCTGTCACAGGAGAAAGTATAGCATACAACATATCAAACTCACACAGGGGCTGTATAAATATTGCATAAACACTGTGAGATGTCCATGATAGACATGTCTCCTCAGCAGCACCAGTTTGGCATATCACCCATAAAACAGCATTTCAGTGCAGTAAGCAACAATAACCAATTCAAGCAGAACCCACTCCTAGGCCCTTATGCAAAAAAAAGACATGATTTGACACTGATGATCAACTCTGATGGCATTTAATACTGAGGGGAACGAGGGGAAAAAAAAAACCACCACAGAGGAAGTATTTACTCAGAAATTCCAGTTACATGAAAAAATTATTAGTAAACTGCTGTATTATTTTTTTAAAGGATCTTCTATTACAACTCTGAACAAAATTTCACGATTCCCTGAAAGAGAATTCATATCATATTCTCATTCTCAATTAATAATTATAGACTATATTTGTTCCACACAAAGTTTACTGCTCAGCTGTGTTTCTGTGGTGGCTGTTTCCTGACTAAACACAAGCTAAAGCAAAACCTGAGACATTTAAACCTCTTTTTCCACTGTCCAGACTCCCATCATTAAGCAAAGGTTTAAAACCTCTTATTTTAAAGATACTGTTCCATACATTCTGAAAATAAAGTCTCAATAGAATATGAGAAACTTGAAGTCCAATGATGTGCTACTGAGACTTGCAACACTCTAAGTTATATTAATATTGCAGAAATTTTCCTCTCTATATATCAGTTAGTTAAAGCCCAGCTTAAACTAGAGTTTGTAAAACTGTAGTTTTGCCATCTAAGTCCTAAATCTCCAAAACGGTGCTGGTATTCTCAGCTATAGTGGATTTCAGTAATAGCTGGCAGAGCTCAACACCCTGAACTTCATGAGCATTTACACAGTATCTTACAAGCTGCATGAGCAAGAATTGCTTTAACTTGGAAAAAGCTGCATTAAGAATATGTTCTCACTCAGCTGCATGCAATTAAAACTGAAGACAAGCAAACTAGTTAGCTTGTAAACTTTTACCTATCAGGACTGAAGCTGGTGCCATAGACAGGTCCACTGTGACCATATAAAATCTTCAACTCACTTGCTGTTTTCTCATCCATGATCCTCTCCAAGACATCATCTGATTCTTTGTCAATGAGACTGAGGTCTGCAAGATTTCAAAGTTCATGTATCAGAATAACTGTCAGAAGGTCAAAGATAAGTGTCATCATTACATCATCTCAGTTAAATATCAAGATTAAGAAATGTTCGCAGAGCATCCAGCTTCAACCACAATACATTGTTATACAAAAATCAGAATTAAAGCAGGGTGGTTTCCATGAATTCATGTAGGTGTTTAGCTTAGGACATTCTTCTCCAACCTTCTCAGAGTTCCCTCCTATCCTTTCCCCCATGTTACCTCTAGTCCCTCTCCTAGATCACCTAACCCCTATTTCTATTACACCCTGTAGTTACCATCCACTTAGAGAAGCAAGATGGCTAGCTCCACACTAGCTATGGCTAGTTCCAAGTTCTGTGCACTGACTACCTCATAGCAGGTGTACATGACCAGATTTCTCATTCCTTTAAAACTGTTTCTAATGGTAGTATGTAAGATGTAAGCCTATGTTGTTTGTGCACATATTTTATCACATATCCCATACATTATCATGTATGTGCACATACTGTTTCTTCAAAGGGAAGCATCTAACCACTGCAGCCAACTCTCCTGCCAGAGATCTTCACTGCTCAGGGAGAACACAAATGTCACAAGTTATTTATGCTCTTATTAACTATTATTTTCTTAATTACCTGCAGCTGTTTTCACACTACGTAGCTTTTTTGGAGTCACAGACCACACTCTGACAGTGGAGTCAGCAAAGCCTCCTACAATCATGCTGGAGTCATCTGTAATATCCACTGCAGTTAGACCCTACACACAAAATATCCAGTTATATTGTTTGCATCTCTCATGATATATTGCAAATATTACAAAATCCTAAGAACCATTAAAAAGGTAATTTGACTCATCTACAAAAATTGAGAGAATTACTATAGGATAAACATAAACACACACAAATTCTTGCCCCATTAACAATAAAGCTTTATGTATGAAGTACAGTCAGTAGTGACAAAGAGTATTGCTTTCCAGTACTCCAGGGCAAAACATCTACTGTGTCCTGTAGGAAACACTTAGGACAGGAAAAGTGAAAGACGGAATTATAGCAAAATCCAAGCAAAACCAAGGAGCAAGGAAATTTTATACTTTAAGGAGTATTTGAAGAGAATTTTGAATATGTTGGAACATAAGCTAGGCAATGCTTAATCCAAATACTCCAATTACCCTTGCCGACACTCTTACGTCTTTTGTCTTTAGCAACAAGGCTGCTCATAATTTTGATGCCCTTTCCCCTATTACCCAAATTCCAAATGTATCTTTTACCAACCTGATAAGCATTAAGGAATGTGTAGAAACAGATGGAGGGCAGGCACTCTGGTCCAAGACGCACTCGTCTTGCAGCTTCCTTCATATTCATTACTTTATCCAGCTTGTCAGAGTCTTTCAGTTCTGGCAGAGGAATTCTACACAAGAAGCACATATTTTTACAAAGTAAAAATACCTTCCTGTTAATCCAAACAAAGCAAGCAAAACTTTCCCATGCAAGCCCATACCACAGTATTCAAATAAGAAACAAGAGTTAGAAAAAAACAAAAGACTATGTAGAAGACTAACTGATGAGAAAGAGAGCCAGTAGCTTTCAGAGTTTCAGACAGGTACTGGAACAAGATAAACAACTGAGTATGACCTGAAAAGATTAGTGGATAACCAAGTAAAATTTCATCAAGGGCAATCTGGATTGACTTGATGGGCAATGACAGAGGGTTATATGCTAAGAGTTCCATGACCTCCCTTGGAAGTCTTACAGCTAAAGCTGTGTACAGCCAAAATAGTCAAAATAACAAAAATACCATGTGAACAGAGATGTAGATTTGGCTTGACAATACTGGATTTTAAAGACTTCTCTACACATAATTTCCTTGGTACCTGTTTTGGGGAGGAGCATTAGGATCCTGTTTTTTACTTTTTGACCCTACATTATCTTTCTTAGGTTTTTTCTTCTTTGGCTTTCCTTCCTCATTTTCTCCTTCTTCATCTTCATCATCCAAAGGCACATCAAACTCTGGTTCTTTCAACAAGCCAAAGAAAACCTACAAGCCAATATAAAAAAACACACAAGACAAAACAGTAACTGCTGTTCTAACTGAAAACTACATTTTTTAATAGTAGCTTTTCAATGTAGTAGTCCAAGCAATAGAGCTGCCCCTTTTAAAGCTGCTCTGTTTAATATTACAGCATTTATTACTGCTTAGCCCACATGGAATGTAGTACACATTCTGGTTTACCTATTCAACTGATCTGGACAATTATAAGTTCTCTCTTCATCTCTTACCACTTTTTTAAAGCAGAATCCCCACCCTACCTCATTTATTTGTGTATTACTGTGGTACTACACACATAGCTCTTCCAATAACAACTGATAGCAAGTCAAAATTACTATCTGTTGTACAAAACAGGAAGCCAAACAGTCAGGTGTCCATTTTAAAACTCCAAAGTAATTAATTAGTTAGTTTAAATTTAGTTCAGTGGGCTGAACACAAGGTTGTCTCTCAAAAGGGTTCAGCAGTTTTGTCCACATGACAACAACACATCTTGACCTCTCTACTCCTGTCAAAATCTGTTTGTACAGTTCTCTTCCTCTGTTCTGTTCATGCTGTCTTTTAAGATCTCAAGTTATGATTGTAAATCTGTACTAAAGTATCTCCCTGAAAAAGCAGGGAGGATTGTAAAAAGTGGAACAATTTTTGTTTCCTACCTTTGCTTTATTAGCCTCTCGTTTTGCCTCCCCAGCCAAGCTTCCAACCATAGCATCTATCTGTTGTTTACTGCGAGGCATTCCATCAAAGATGTCAATGTAAAGATGCTCCTGAACAATGTTCCAGATCTGATTGTTCTGCTTTTCCTGAAGATGCCTCTTCAGGAGTTGGTAAGAGTCACGGGAAATGCGCAGCACAAACTTGCTTGTTCGGAAATCCAGCATGGTCTCGTTACCTTTCATGTGTTCCTTTTTGGTTAAGCTCGACAATACACGCAGGTCATCCTGGTAATAGCACTCCTGATCCCCATGAAATCTATTGAAGCAATTTAAGATATGATAAAAGGTTCAGTCACTCAACTTGCTATAAAATAGTTGTGGCAAGGGACATTTTAACTATTTACAGAACCATTTGAAGGGAAAAAAAGTTATCCTTTTGGATTGAAGTATTTCACAATTGGTCTGAATCCATGAAACAAATTAAATTCTATTTTCCTCTCAAGTGATAAAGAAGTGAAATATAGTAAGAGTATAGAAATTTATAGACTACCCAGAAATTAATTTATTTAAGCTCATTTGAAGAATTTCAATGTACATGCTATGATATCAGCAAACACTTATAGCATTCATTATTTTGGCGTCTCAATGCAATCTTCCATTGCTGAAAACTGACCCCACAATCTTTCCCTAAAGATGCAGAATCTCTTCATTGATCCTTTTGCAGCAAGGAGCCCATCAGCACACCATTAACATGGTTCAAACTCTACCAATGAACAGTTCAGTAGTTTGCACATCTTTCTAACAGCAGATTGGAAAATAGTTTAAGAACAGGTGCTACAACCCATGGCACTGTTACTTCAGATTTCAAACCTATTCAACTTTAGAGAAGAAAAATAATACATATCCATGTATACGCACATAAATCTATGCTACTATAGTTCACAGATTTAGCCAAAGTAGCAAGCACAATATAACACAAATATGCAAATGAAAATTAATTACCTTTCAAAAAAAGACTTTGCCTCACTCTCATGTTGATTGTAGACCAATTCCAAATACATGTGCACAAAGAGAGGATAAAAGAGCTGAGACAATTCTGCCCGATGACAGTCCAGGGAGCACTCGATGAAGTGTTTTAATCCGCTGTAGTACTCCTCGTACAGTGTCGGGTCTCCTTGCTGGTTGTAGGCCGACAACACCGCGCTCACGTCCGGCTGATCCTCCACAACCACCGCACCTCCGACTGCAAAAGCACCAGCCAACAACAACAGCTGCTCAGACAGTCTGGAAGAGCCAGCAAACAAAGTGGCCACAACTCCCTGGTCAGGTGAGCAAAACACATCCTGTGCACGTTCAGCACCAAGTCTAAACAATACAGGTGAGAGCACATTGGTCCAGCAGCCAATTCTCTCCAGCAGTTTTTTGGACTTTCCCTGCCAACAGATGCCTGTGAGGTAGGCACTTAGTGCCTAATTCAGACAGGATTTAAAATGTGATGGAAGAAGCCACTAACCTCACCAGAATGAATTATTTTATTGCTAGGGCTAGAAACTCTTAAACAAGGAACAGAATGTAAGACATTCCACTATAATTATTTTGGTCCCAGTAAACAAGCAAGTTAAGTAGATTAAGAGAACAATTCACCAAGACCACCACACAACCATCACAGCGCAAGGACACTTAACACTCTGACAGTTCTGTTCTACACAGCAGTTGTAACATACTTCCATTGTTTTTTTATATAAAAACAATGATATCTGATGATGTCAGAAACAAGCTGTACACTCACTGGAACTCAGACTAGCAGTTCCTGAAATGTAACTAGTTCCGTGGCTCCTTCACCAAAACTCAGACTGTACCTCAGATCTTTGTTCTCATCCCTGCAGCCAGACCCGGGACAATCCCCACTAACTACAATGGAAGCCTCCTGTTCCTGCTACTCTATCAGTTGTGATGGGACACGAATATAAGCGGGAGCACTTCTCGCTTCACAGTGCTCCCTGCAAATGCAAGACACCCTGTCCTTGGTCCCTTGCTCCAAGAGATACGGATTTCTCCATGGATTATATGGGGAAATGAGACATCCAGGGACCTGCCGGAAGGCCGGGGTAGACTCTCGGCAGCACCGAGAAGCTGACATCGACCCTTGTGTCCCAGCATAATGGAGAGCCCCCGAGGCTGCGAGCAGCACATGGGCTCCCCACTTCCCGGGGATCCTGCCGAGAGGAGGGAGCGACCCCTCAGTCCCCGCGGGCCTTACCTTTCCCCGGCGGCACGGCGGCAACTGCAGCCACGCTGGGGCTGGAAGTAGCGACAGTGGCGACGTTGCCCCCTATGGCGACGGCGGCAGCGCTGGTGCCCCGGCCGAGCAGCGCCTCGCCGGAGTCCGCATCGCTGCCGGAGCCCCCCAGGAGCCCGGCGCTGGCGGGGCTGAGGGCGACAGCACCCAGGTCGTCGCCGAGCAAGCGGGCTTCGCGACGTAGGATCTCCTCGGACTCGCGGAGGTTGCTGCGCCGCAGGAACTGCAGTACGGCCACAAGCGTCTGCCGGTCCAACGCCGCCGGGGAGGCGGCCGGGCCCGGCGCCGCGGGCTTCGGGGGTGCAGCATCCCCACCGACTCCCGCAGCCTCTCCTTCCGCCGCGGCGGCCGGGGCGGCGGCGGGAGCGGCGGCGGGAGGCACCGCGGGCGGCGGCGGCGGCGTCCCCGCCTCGGGGTCCGGCTGCACCGCCGCCACTTCTGCCGGCTCCTCATGCAGCGCCGCCATCTTGCGCCGCCTTCCATTCGCCGGCGGCGCACGGCCGCCGCTAGGCGCGGCCGCCCTTGCGACAGTGAGGGCAAAGGAAGGGCACTGCTGCCGCTGCCGCCACAGGCACGCGCGGCTTCGTTTTGCGACGCTGGCGGAAGCGCTTTGTGGCAGCGGGGGCGCGGTGAGGCGCGGCGGTGCCGGCCGGCGTGAGGGGCAAGGGGCTGTGTGGGCACTGCGGGGCTCACGGAGCTCCCTGGGGTAGACCAAGGATGCCCTTGGGACTGTGTGCCCTTAGGGGCCAGGTGCCCAATTAAGTTAATTACGGCTGGGCCGCTGAGTTGTCCAGATATTTCTAGTACTGCTTCTTCTAATTGTGTCTGTTAAACAGAGATTCGGTGGTACTTGTCGAAAGGCTGAGAGAGCTGGGGGTGTTCAGGCTGGAGAAAAAAAAGACTCCAGGGAGACCTTGCAGCACCTTCCAGTGTCTAAAGGGGCTACAAGAGCACTGGAGAGGGACTTTGGATAAGGACATGTAGTGGCAGGACAAGGGAGAACGATTTTAAACTGACAGAAAACAGGTTTAGATTAGATATTAGGAAGAAATTCTTTACTCTGAGAGTGTTGAGGCACTGGCACAGGTTGCCCAGAGGAGCTGTGGATGCCCCAGTCCTGAAGTGTTCCGGGACAAGTTGGATGGGGCTTTCAGCAACCTGCCCTAGTGGAAGGTGTCCCTGCCCATGGCAGGCGGTTGGAACGAGATGATTTCTAAGGTCCCTTGCAACCCAAACAATTTAATGATGTTACAGAATGAAGCCCTTATTTTGAATGAAACTGGTATTGTGTGATTTGGAGTCTTTCAGGACAAATAAGCGTTCATTGGAGAGTCGCTTGGAAAAAAGAATTAAGGGGGGAAAAAAAGCAGTGGGGATATAAACTATAAACCCGTTGTTGCCCAGCGCACGCGCGGTAGAGCAGCATTGCGTTCTTTAGAACTACATTTCCCAGCGTGCCCCGCAGCGCTCCCACGCCTGCGCCCCGGGCCCAGGACCGAGCCGTGGCAGCCCCGGTCCGTGGACATGGAGGGAGACACCGGATCTGGGGTCCCGGCGCTGTCGGGCGGGGATGGAGCGGGCGCGGGCCAGGGCTTGGGCCCGGCCCATGAGGACCGGGACATGGAGGGGGCCCCCAGCTGCTCGGGGTCGCGCTCCCTCCCCTTCGAGTTCGAGCGGGGTCGCTCGGAGTCCAGCGGCGATGAGGACGACGACGACGAAGACGACGAGGAAGAGGAGGTGGAGGAGGAGGAGATGGAGAGCGACACCAGGGCTCGGTTCGGAACGGATGACGGGGAACTCGATTCGGACGACGACCGGGAGGTAAAGGTGGCGGGAGGGTGCCCGGGGCACGCCAGGCCCCGCTCCCGGCGTGCCCCGCGTGTGGTAATGGACTTTTTATTATTTTTACTATTTTGTTATATTTGTTATTTATCTTAATATATATTTTATTATTATCCGAGTTCACTTCATCTGTCTCATTTAAGTGAAGCCCTTGCAAACTCTCGGCGTGGCTGAGAGGGTGGTGGAGGGTGGTAGACCGTGGCACGTGAGCAAAATGAATGGTGTTATTGAGGGAAAGAAAGCCTTTAAGTCGGGCTTTGAGATGAGAGGAAACGTAAGAATCTAATGTGTCAGCTCTTTCAGACACATCTCAGATAGTCGCTATTGAAGAAATTTGTTCTTTTTTGAAATTGTATTATTGAGCCACGAAAGCTGTTGTGGAACTACTTGTGTGCGTTCCCGGTAAATGTTCTTCGTGACTAGGATTCAAAGCAGTGAAATTTCAGCCTTTGCCTCTGTGTGTATTTGTATAATCTGTAACTGTGTGTACAAACAAGAGATGACTGTCTCTTGTCATGCAGACTCTCTGTATCTTGATTTGGGACTCCAACTGAGCATTGCTGAGCATTTCCAAATAATGTTATTTACCACCTCATCCACTTCAATCTTGCTGGTTATGTGATATTTTGTTAAAAGAGTTTATCCAAAAGAACTTCTCCCAAAATGATTGCTTAAAGTTTTTTTAGGTATGATTCATTAAATAAATTGGATTACTGTTGTCAAAATGATCAATTTGTAAGACTAGGTAGAAGTCTTCAGAAAAGAGCTGTATGTGGGAAGCAACTGATCTGTTAGGAAAACTCATTCCTGTAACATATTGATCCCATTTTTTCCCATGGTTTTAGGGCTATGGTATTTTGGAAGCTGCAGGGAATTTCATGGCTTAGCTTGTGTATTCAAACTTACCAATTTTTGTTTGCAGCGTATGATAAACCTCGCAGAGTTGACCCCCTACATCCTGTGTTCCATCTGCAAGGGTTACTTTATCGATGCTACAACTATTACAGAATGTCTGCACACCTGTAAGTATTTGTCAGTATTGTCTAAGGGTTTAGTTGCAAATTCAAACCAATTCAGCTGTTGAAATGTTCTGAGTTCAGAAAAACAATTCTCTGTTCGAAGTGAATGTGTGTTGCGTTTATTCTGTTCCTTAAGCAAGATATATATTGATACTTTAGGCATCAGAAAATTACTCAATCAATCAATCAGTCATGAAGTCAACTTTCCATATTATGAAGGAAGAAGATGTAGGAAAAGATAAAGCCCAAGTAAGACAGAAGCAGAGCTACTACATACATTTTCTTAAATTTATTTTTTTTTTTGAGTAGGCTCTGGGAATTTGAGTGTGTAACTAAGAAAAGAAGGTTTGTGCGTGGCTCTGCTTTTAATGGACTAGAAAGTTTCCTAAGCTGTTGTTGATGTGAGCTTGTAAATTCACAAAACCCCATAAGTGCCTGTGTGGAAGTACCGGTTCAGATACAGAAACAGTGGTCTGCACCCATGGGACAGTTTGTCCATAATCTGATGAATGGAAATAGGTGGGTAATAAATAACTGATTTCAATGTGCTTGTCTTATTATTTTTCCGCCTTGATCCTAGTGCCAACAATTTTCCCAGTACTAACAGAACTGTTTTCTCTCCAAACTAATAAAACACTTTCTTTGAAGCTAACTCTTTCAGCCACACCCATGTTCATACCTGAATCCAAGAATCCTGGTTTACTAGATCTCCCAAACTTCACACTGTATAGAGGGAAAACTTTTTTTCTCTCTATTTTTTATTTTCCTTTTTCTGGAGCACTACTCACTAGGTTGTTCTATAGCACAAAGTATTCAACACAGTTTGCAATTTACAAAGAGGCACAGCTGTTAGTAAGGACAGCATAATATTGCAAATGCAGTAGTGGTGGTGTTTTAGAACTTTCCTGAAAAATGCTATGGAAAAGTTTCCTCTGTTCAGGCTGATGGGGAGCTGACTTGATAGTAGGTTATTTATGCTAGGTATTTCCACTTAGTAGCTTTCATTCCAAATTTTAAAGGACTTGTAAAACATAATGAAAATGGCAGTTATGATTTCTTAAGTTTCTTACCTTGTTTCTACTGAAAGTGTTTGTAGGGTGCTTTTCAGCAGTCAACATTCTGCCTTAGCTCTGCTCAAATTCTACATACACGTTGAACACTCACCCATGCATCCTTTGGATTAGGAGTGTTCAGTGACTTCATTTTGTCTCTGACAAATTTTGTATGGGAAGTCTGGGTGTATTTACCCCTTCTGCCTGAGCAGATGGCACTGTGTAATGGACACGTGACTCCTGGTTTCTTTTCTTTACAGTTTGTAAAAGCTGCATCGTGAGACACTTCTATTATAGCAACAGATGTCCAAAGTGCAATATTGTTGTACATCAGACACAGCCCCTCTATAATATCAGGTAATAAATTTGTCCCATGTTTTGTTGTACAGACTTGTAGTGCTTTCCTATTTGAAACAAAGGAATGGTTACAAGAAACACATTGTGTTCTTTTGAACTATTGTGAGTTTCACCACAATAATTAAGATAAAAAGACTCTCTTTATTGTTTTATCTAGTTTGTATCAACTTCTAACCATTTCTAGGGTTTGTACCCCTGCCCTGGATATTTTTATGCATTTGCTCAGTGCTACAAGTGATTCAAACAATTAACTATTTGTTTTGATTTCCTTTTAAGAGGAAGTCTTTTGGGCATGGTATATTTATTAACTCAAAAAATTGAGTTTTACCTTCTTGAGCTATTCATGAAGGGAGGTGCTTTAAACACCATGGCTTCTGTTGGAGCTCCGCTGTCAGGATGAGTATTTAGAGATGTGAAGTTGCTGCTCTGTCACTCTATGTACATCCCATTTCAAGTTGTATTTGGCATCTTTGTTACAGCTTACTGAAACCATTTTGTCTTGCACCAAAGATTTATTTATTTTTTTTCATAGACTGGACCGACAACTGCAAGATATAGTCTATAAATTAGTTGTCAACCTGGAGGAAAGTAAGTCCCTTTCTTTTTTATATTACTGTGTAAAGATTGAAAAGAACAGAAAACAGAGTAATTCAAAGTTTCTACTATGGAATCCTTAAAATAGTTTTGTGATGTTTGGTTATAAGTTGTAATGAATTAACTGTGACAACATTAACTGTGGCATCTTTTTGGCTGCTAAATGCTATTGTGGTAGTGATGTGTACCATATCTCATGAAACACAGCTGTCACAGTATCCAGATAAACATGCAAATAATATTTCATAGTCATTCCTCTTACTTTAGTAGAGCTAGATCATATTATTCTGTGTAAAAAGTTCACTTGGCTCAGTAGAAAAAAAATGCTGAGACTGATTCTCTCAAGTGCTTTTATTTTTTCCTCATTGCTGTATTTACTTGTCTGATTTTAGATGTGTTCACTGTCTCATCTCATTTATCTTCAACTTTGGGAGCCAGTTATCCTGCACAGTCCCCCTGGGTGGGCTGAGTGGATTATGGACTATAGATGATATTGCTTTGTATGCCATGAACATATATGTAAAAAATATATGTATATATATAAAAATGTGTGTGTGTATATAAAAATATAGTATAAAAGTACTGTGCTTTAAGTGAACATGTTATAAAATACCATGTCATGTTATGAGGCGTGACAGCCAGAAGGATACTAGTTCCTGCAGCTTTTTCAGTATTATTCATGGCCGGTTTCTCTGATTTCCTCCCAGTTTTTACTAATAAAATTGTAGTCAGGGTTTCTTAAGTATCTCAGGCTCATGAAATACTAGTGGTGGTGAAGGTCTGTAGAAAGTTGGAAAGTTTTTACTGCTCTAACCATTTAGGCCATTTTCTCATTGAAAATTGGTCAATGAGAACGGTTATACCCAGCACCTGAAACATTTCAATCTGTCTTGTGCATTTTTTTTCAGGAGAGAAAAAACAAATGCATGACTTTTATAAAGAAAGAGGGTTAGAAGTACCCAAACCAGGTGAGCTGTAATCACCCTAAGAAACACTGTTAAGGAAATACCAAATAATTTATTTTAAGGACTTTTTTTAAAATATGAGTTCACAACTGAAGATGGAAGTACTACTGGAAATATGGGAGTCTTAGTTATATGGAAATTATAACTCACAGATCTCAGATTGCAAAAATAGATGAATTGGCAACGCTTAAACCCTGATCATGGTTGAATTATTTTAAACTACATATTTTGCTTACAACCAGGAAATATACATAAAATGTGCATTAATGTTATTTTCTGGCTGTTAATAAGTAATAAACATTACAAAGGAGTAGAAATGAGAGCTTCAAAGTCTGCTAAACAGTCAGGGATTATTCTAATTATTTTGTGTCTTCTTATCAAACAAAGCTCTTTGGAGAGTTCTGTGCTGAAAGCTATTAAAATTCTGATTCAGCATAGAAAGTAGGAAGAGCTGATTTAGTAATAAAAAAAGAGGATTAATTGCATGGGCTTTTTTACCTGGTGAGCTGTTTTGTTTTGCTCAGTGCATGTTAGTATCTTATGCTGCTTTTATTTCAAGTTATCTTTGCATTTTGGCTACTTGAATATTTTAGCTGTCCCACAGCCAGTTCCTCCGAGCAGAGGAAGACCTCGAAAAGTTCTGGGCTCAGTGTTCCGGATCCCACCAGAACTTGACATTTCCATACTTCTGGAGTTTATTGGGTGAGTTGTGGGCAACTCTAAGAGCAATTGACTGACAAGAGTGCTGCTAACATGTGATGGACCATTAACTGGCTCTTGGTTTTCATTAAATGTGCATTTCTTCCATCTCAAATAGTAATGGGGAGCCAGTTTTAACTTACAGTGCAGTAGTGACAGCCAGCTATGCACAGGTAGATGATGCAGATAACTAAATGTTTAAGATGTATCTTCCTATAAAAGTAGCTTCCTAGGAAGTACAGTTTTAAAATGTAGATGTGTTTTATTTTTAACGAAGTTGTTGCAGTCTCAGTAAACTGAACAGAGAAATCTCTGTCTGTTCCAGTCCCTGATCCCTGTAGGTGGCAGCACCAGTAATGCTGGATCTGCTCAGAGGCTTTCAAATAATAAAGTTTTTAACATTGTGAATCCACATACTTGCCTTAATTTCGGTGTTCATTTTCTTCGTGACTGACTTGCAGAAGTCAATTTAGACCTCAAACCTAGTAAACTTGTACCTGCCTGACAAACAAGATGACTTTTGAATCTGTTTTATTTGGTTTTTTGGTAGTTTTATTTTGAATGTCCAGCAATGGCAGCAAAGCAAGTAATGCTTTGTGCAAATACCTTCTATACCATGTGGAAATGTCTGCTGTGGTTTTGTTATTTCTATGAAAGAAAACACAGAATATTTCTAACAAAAAAAAAAAGATGGCTTAACACCATCTACTTTGTATCTTATTTTAGTGACTTTTTAAACCTTTGATAATTTATATAATCAAAATCAAAGAGGTTATTTTGGCAATGAGATATTAGTAAAGCAATTTGGATAAAGAAAACTTGGAATAGATTGGACCAGCCGGAGAAATTGTTACTTTGAAAGTCTGACTGTCTACATTGTGTCTCTACAGTTTATAATGTGGTCACCAGTGGCGGTGGAACTGTATCAAAGAAAATGACAGCTGTAGTGAAAAAGCTTTTTGATGTTTGTTTCATAGTTCACGACAGATTTCCTTAGCTCTGTCTGATAGCTGGTACATATTTAGACATGGAGATATTCAGTCACAGTGACTTGAAGTGCCATGTTCATGTGTGGTCTGCACAAGTGTTACATTTATTCGCTGTAGCAAATGGTCAGCTGATTTATAGCAATGTTTGATTTTTTGCCATCTCCAGTGCAATGAAAATACTGCGCTGTTTCTTCTCTCGTATGTACATACTTGCTAATGCAGTGCAAGAATAATGAAATGTCATGTATTTGCCTTTATTAATTGAGAAATTTACACATTGCACTACAAGAAGGAGGTGTGGAGTATAGGTTATCAATGGTAGATCATGTGCTCAGGCTGTGCAGATCAATGAACCTTGGCTGACGCCAGCTGGAAATTTGGTTATTTGCCACCTTTACATGTATTTCACATTCCAGAGGAACATATGTTGCTTTCTTGAGTTCCTAGCATTAATTAGCATTAATGCTATCAATTAGCACTAATGCATTACTAATTAGCATTAATATTGTCATATGAACAGTCTGGAATGCCAGCATCTTGCCCAGAGAGCCCCTTAGGTGGTTGGTTGTGTTCTGTCAGTAACTTCTTAGGTAATATCTGTTAAGGTTTTCAAATATCAAGGATCATGAAGTATGAATGTTTAAGCAGCATCAATACTGCAACCTACTCCTATGAAAGTTAGTGTTATATTGTGTTTAAAAATTGCTTTAGGCTACATTGGTTTTTACTCACATTTTATGTAGACAAATCTTAACATCATAAATAGCTGAATTCACAAGAAAAGTGGAGCAGAAAAATAAAGGGTAGGAGAAAAAGATATATAAATTCAGTCCAGTATTAATTTATGTATGGTAATTTAGTGAAAGGAGAAGCCTGAGCTGGGAAAATAAGTGGATATACGAGACTCATAAATCAGTAAGTCACTGTTACAATAAAGAGCTTGAGGATAGTAATAACTGATGATCTTAGCAATGTTGACTATTTACTCTTTTGTTTTTTCAGAGCTAATGAAGGCACAGGGAATTTTAAGGTACAAATGTGATTAAATTTTTTTCTTACAGTTTATTTCAGAAGGAATTATAACCTGAGTATATTTAATTTAGTTTAGTTTTCTTATACTGAGCGCAGCTGGAGCTTTCATCACAATAATAATAACCAGTCTTGTATTACAGTGTATTTCAAACCTGTTGTTGTATAACATCACACCTACCCAGCATTTTTTTTTATCCTCATATATCACAGTATTTTTTTAGTCATCTTTTTTCAGCTTCAGTATCACCTCCTATCCTTTCTTGTCTCATATTTGCCCTTCTTTCTGCCTTGTTTATCCTGGGGTCTTTGGGCCACACAGAGCATAGGGCTGTTTAAAACATTCAAAAAATAACCAACTGCTTATTATTTTTTAAATGTTTAAACAGCATCTGTTGTTTTAATATGTATTTAGTCCACTTGCTATGAGGTAATCTGCAGGTAGATAAGAGAAGGGTTCAAAAGTGTAAGCTGTTTCCCTGTTACTGGGCTGTTGCTTGAGTTTGGAGTTTATGAGGGATTAGTGCCAAAACCTTTAACTTAAAATCTTTATTCTGTGCAGCCTTTGGAAAAGAAGTTTGTGCGTGTTTCTGGGGAGGCAACAATTGGACATGTGGAGAAATTCCTCAGAAGAAAAATGGATCTAGACCCTGCTTGTCAGGTACATCACTTGCTGTAGCAGTCACAAGTTGTCTGTGCTTTGGACAGACATTTCCATTGTTCATTAGATTCTAGAAGTAGTGTTAGAGTTTTTTATGTAGTAAGGATTAAAAAATTGTTTGCAATGTTGTGAGCTGCAAGGAACAACTCTTCTAACTCATTTGCAACCTGTTCAGATTTTCATAATACTGCACTAATGGGACAGAATTTCTAAAGAGCCATGTAAAATTTCAAAAAATGAAATTCAAAGCCAAGAGATTCTGCTGTTTTAAAGGTAAAACTAGACAGGAAGGTGGGAATGTGGGAACATTCCCACATGTGGGAGCATGCAAAGGCAGAGACAGGTGCAGGCTGAATAATAATAAAATTTAACTGAAGGCAAACAAGGGCTAAGAAAGAATTATAGTATGGATGGATGTGTTGAAATTAAAGGTATGAATGCAAACACAGACACTTTCCTCCAAATAAGAATTCAAAGGAGCAGAATATGGTACAAAAGAATTTAGCTTCATATTTCTCAACCATTTTGAGAGGAACTGCATGTCAAAACCAGTTTCCAATTCTTCAGTGTATTTCAGCAGCCATTCAGATGGGAAATTGCAAGAGTTTCATAATGTGTAAATAATTGTTAAAGCTGTCAATTCCCGGAAGATGAAGCTGATGCTGATGTGAATAGAAATGGTAGAAGTTTAGTGCTGGGTTTGGAGTTAAGGCTGTTTTCATACAGCAGTAACTGTGGGACAGTACAGCATGGCTGTGTGCCTCAGTAGTGAGGATTCATGCTGCATACCTTTTCAGTGGTGACAAAGCAAATCAGATATGAATTATTCATCCTGCAGAGGAATTAATGTATTTTCATTTGCTGGTTTCCTCTCAGTGAGAGACTGTAGCTTCTACATGGTGATGACTTGATATTCTAAACAAATAAAAGTATCCTCAAAATGAGGCTGGAGAAACATCTTGCATTATTTAGTCGTCGTTTCTTTGAGGGGAAGGAATTGCTGTGTTTATTTGGATTTTCTTAAATAGCACATCAGAATCTCAATTTTCAAGAGCATGAGTCCTGGAAACCGCAGGTGTCCATCTTTCAAAATCAGCCTGGGCCTGTGTGTTGGGTGTCTTTCAGAAAGACTGTAAAATCTTTACATCATCTATTAAGAGAACTTTAGAATTTTTCACCCATAAGTTACTTTCTGCTTGGACTTTGCCAGACAGGTACAATCTCGTATTGGTGAGTACATGTTACTACATCTTAAGAGCTGATGATTTCATAGACTTCCTTTCTCAAGATGTTGCTTGATGCTGAGCTGGTCACTCCTATCTCTGCTAGTATGAAGCTTGTCATTGTGGTGTAAGGCACAATCATTGGCTAGTTCTAATCATGGTCTCTTCAGTGCAAGCCCTGCCTGTATGGAGGAAATGATAAATCTTCTTTCTTTTACAGACAGATGCCTTGGCTGCCTTTTTTTCTCATCTTAAATGATGTGCTCCCATTTATTTTTTTTTCAGCAAGCATTTTTCTGGTCATCAGAAACCTGTAGTTGATTTTTATGCCCCGAGTCATGACTCTTGTCTTGAAGATATCCAGGCTCACTTTTAAAAAATTTGGAAATCCAGGAGATGAATCTGGAAGTATTTTTTTCTAGCCTGAGTGATCTTTTCTTAGTCTTATGGGGACTAAGGAGTGTATGTACTGAGCTGTTACCTTCTCATGGTAGTACACAGAACTGAAGCTGATGGTTTGTTGGTAAACATGCAGAAAGTGAAAGATATGTCAGATATGTCATTGAAGATTAATAAACCTAATGAATCATGTCTTACTCCAGCTTCCCAGGATGGCTAATAAACTGTAAAACAAAATTAAGGAGAACCTGATTCTGAATTAGCACAAGCAGAAGAATTCAGAGAACTAGATTACAAACCATATGTGCAAAGAATTTAAATGTAGAAGATTCTTTGCTGCATTTTTAGTTTGCTCTAGAAATTTGGAAGTGTTGAGGACGGCAGTGGTTCATTTCCTGTCAGCTTCCCCAATGTATGTTAAAAAATAAATAGATACTAACTTTGGACAAGGTCTTCCTTTTCATGTTGCTTCTTTAGTCTTAATTTCCAACTATCTTCATTACCTAAAATAATCCTTTTTTATATAAAATGTCTTGAGTTGGGTGTGTTTAGCTTGGAACTGGAGTCCAAGAATTTGATTTCCTTGTGAAGCTTGGATGTTTCTTTCAGAAACTTATGTTTCAGACATATTGAGTTAAAATGCACTACATTTGCAGTACTTTTTATTACATTTACCTACAGGAGATTTATTGCAATAGTGTTGAATTGCATCTTACTTGGGACTTTGAAAGATTTGACTGTAAGGTAGGCACAGAGTATATTAATTTCATTTCTGGTTTCGTTGTTGAAACTTCTCATGAAGACACTAGGTGTGGTTGTTTTGTGAGTGCAGTCAGTTTCTACGGAATATCAGCTTAGTTTGACAGTCTTCAAAAATACTATTTGAGAATATTTCAGTCATTCTCTGTTAATGATAGAAGGTATGTTCCCCACCCCCCTGAACTCCTGGCTCTCCCTAGACATCTCTGACTTAATCTTTTTGTTTGGAATATGAGCTAATACTTGCCCTTCTTCATTGACCTGCACAAGTGCAATGGATTTAGGTTAATGAAAATGTGAAATAAGCCATCTGACTCATGTGGAGCAGTATATAAAGAAGTCTAAAAAGTAGTTTTGAAGCTATTGCCTTTGTTCTTTCTTTCCTACTCTGAAGCTTCAAATTACTTTCAGACTTCTGTATTTGCATTTGCAAGTGGATTATGTTTTAAATTCTCTAATTTATCTGAAGGTTAAGGCTTAATTTATTTTTATCTAGCTCTTGAGCTGGAAGACTGTAGTTTACTCTTTCTGATGCTTTGTTGTGAACTCCGTGCTTTGGGCAATGATTAATTTTCTGTATGTGTTTATGTATCCTTCTAATTACAAGGTCTCTCTTGAATATCCTTGCTGGAATTTGTTGTGAGAGGGTGAAAATAAATCTTTAGAAACTGGAATTGCCAGTAATAGCTAAGTAGGTAACATCTGGTAGGAGCTAAATACAGGTTGTAGTGTTTGGAACCCAGTAGATTCTTGTCTTTGGCAACAGAAGTTTTCTTTCGAGTGTGATTTTCTTTGAGCCCCTCCTGCAGCAGCAGTATTTCTTCCTGCTAGTTCTTCTGTAAGGATGAGAGAAACTGCTGAAAGACTTGCAGCCCAGCTGCTCGGAATTCATTAATTTAGCTGATGGAACAGAAATGTTCTTTAACCAGATGTGCATTCCTAAAAGTGTGTGAACTGCAGTCTTGGGGGAGGCTGGGGAAAGGACTCTGTGCTCATACACGGTGTAGTTGTTGATTCAATTTCTTTATGCCAATCTTAGACCCTGGAATAAAAGCATCTAGGGCCTCTGGAAAGTGAACAGCAGCTAGAGGAAATTGGAAATTCTGACAACTTTTTGAATAACTAGCCCAAATACTCATGTCAGTCTCTAAAACTTTGTGTTTTCCTTGTCCTTCCCTGGGTGGTATGTGTTGGTTTGGAAAATATTGATTGAAGCCTACTGCTTTCTGGGCCAAATTGTCCCTTGGGATGAGTCTTATGTGAAGTGTCCCTTACGTGAACTTTTTCTGTTTTTATTTCTGTCTTACTTAGTGAGCATGAATTTATAGTGGTCTGTTATGGTGGCTTTTAGAGAAATAGCTCTAATAGCAGACATGCCACCAAAAGAAAAGAAATGGCATAATGGAAAACCTAGTTTATTTTAATAAGAATTTTAGCAAAAGTGACAGAGTATTCAGCAAATCCACCTTCATGCTTCCTTTCAACCAAATGTCAAGCTACAGTTACTGCTATCTCAGGCAATCAGTACTAGTTGACTTCAATTTTACCAGTCGTTTGAAATTTTAGTAAATTCATAGCTCTTGTGGTGCTGTTAGCGTTTGGAAACACACATAATCTCAAATAGATTATATGCAGGTGTTTTATTGAAGTGCATGGGAACTAGGGGTATTAGCAACCCAAATCTAGCTCCGCTGTCTTTGTTCAAAGTGCACGTATTTATACAATTTCAGCTGTAACACTAATCACTGTAACAACCTTATTGATACTGCTTCATTAGAGTGTAGCCCGAGCTTGTACGAACTTGTATGAATCTTATCTATAGAAATATCTATATATATATCTAGATAGGTAGATAGATATCTATATCTTAGAAACTCCAAATACTGATGCCCATTACTATAAACATTCTAGCTTGCTAAATTATCCCAATATCAAGCATTCTTTCAGCCAAGTTATACAAGATTTTCAGAAACATTTAACCCTGTACTAACATTTCCCCCCTTTGAAAGTATTTAACTTTATTACAATAAGTATAATGTTTTCACTATATACAGTCCTTTAGCTTTTGAGTTTAGACTTGATGTTCATCTTCAAATCCACAGTTGCAATAAGTGTTGTTGCAGACTGGAGGACCTGGAGATGACAAATGCATATGTGGATCTCTGTCCCATGTCAGTGCCTTTATTATTTTCTGGTTCCAGGATACTCTTTTCCTTATCTCTCCTTTCAGAACCTTGTAGATTAACCAAATTACTAAGAGCATGCTCAGTAAGATTATCACACTCTCAATAATAGATTTGTTCCATGAGCTCACGTTCCGTCCTAACCTTTCAAAGATTTTATCTAACCAACTTGTGGTCAGATCTTCCCATTCTTTCTGTGCCTCATGCTCTATTTGTTTCAACTGATTAATGTTGTGTTCTACATCTGCAGTTACATTTGGGATGTGGATGTGGCAATGATCAATTTGTCCTTTTAGGTATCCGCATACTCCATGTTCTTTCAAAATTAACAAATCCAAAGCCAATCTGTTTTGCAAAGTCATTTTACTTGTGGCTTGTAATTGCACATTCAGTTCTCTAAATCCTTCCTTGGTGACTTGCTAATCTTTCTACCTGA